TGTATCCAAAGCCAAGCCACTTTTTTTTTCTTTTTATTATCCAAAGTTCACAGTGTACAATAAAAGTGTCAGCAGCTGCCTTATGTAATTTGCTCTTCGAGATCGAAGTCAGAAAATCGCTAGCCTGTTAATTGAAATCTAATTTTTTCTTGTTATCCAAGGGTAGCTGTTTGCTTTTTGATGCTACTGTAAATAAGAAAAAAGATTTCTATTGTGTTTCTTTTCAATATTTTATTATGTTGGGGGTGAAAGAGGAAAAGAGAAAACTATTTGCACTGGTAACTCTGATCAATTGATAAGCTTATCACACACCAGTGTGTGAGCAAAGAAAAAGTAAATCTTCTGAGGCAGTGGCAAGTGCGTCGCTTGCTGCGGCAGGCAGGCAGTCATGCAAGCCCTGGAAGATTAGCAGTGTATTTCAAACTGAAAATTGGCCTGATGGGAAATGGCTCTGACTTGTTTGAAAGGTTTAAACTGATCTGCAGTTCACAGGGGTGTGAAGGCCAGCGGTGCTAATAGGTTTAGTGATCTGAAACTTGTCACGCTTCAATGTTTGTAGCCTTCCAACAGCTGCTTGCCATTATCCTCCCTCCAATTTCGGCAATGGTTAAATACAAATGTAGAGGAAGAAGCGTTTTGAAGGTGCTTGGTTTAATTGTTTGGCAATGTCTTTGCATGCTTTCTCTATCTGATCTTTTACTCCGACCAACATTTCCTGGATGTTATTTAGAAGAAGACATCTTTTAAAAGCCTGTGTCTGAACATAGGTACTCTTGATGCTATGGGATGCATTTTGGTTATGTTCTCCAACGTGCAGGCAACTGAAGGCCAGAGTTTGTAGAATTACTGCCCAAAGCACTAACCTGCTCAGCTTTTTACTCACCTTGGGCAAGTATTGTACAGTGCCTTGCTGAAGCTCCTGTCAGCCCATGAGCTGGGGCTGGAGCTGTTCCCCAAAAGGCCAGCAGTGAGGTCCCTGTTGGCCGTGCCTGCTGCATGCAGCACGAGCTGGCCCCACAGGATAAAATTCTGTTTTCTTCTAGGTGCAAACCAATTTTAAGAATATTTGGAGAGAGAAGTGTATTGACATTAATAACAACACCAATGCAGTTGTCAGATCTTCAGCCAGAGCCCACTGAAAGGGGCACCCTGCAGGCTTCTCTCTGCAGAGGCTGGACCGAGAGGCTGGGTGGCACAGGGGTCTGGCTCCAACCATCACTGAGGATTTTTGCTGTTGTCACTTGGTACATAGAGCTGGGGGACTGCTGTGGTACGGAACTTCTCATTAGCTGCAGTGTTATCCAACCACTTTGAAGGATTACTCAGAAGTCTTCAGGGTTTGTGCTAGGCTTTTGTCGATGTTCAGCAAATACAGCGAGAGATAACGCTGATGAAAGGAGCCTGAGCATGTGCACACACCGTGGATTTGTAAGGCGGCCTGACAAAAGCATTGCAATGAACTAAAACATATTTACACATAGAAACTATTGCAAAGCTTCCTACTGGCTGCATTAAATTTGCCCTCTTTTTTTCTCCACTCCTGATGCTTTGTACTGCTCCAGCTTCAGAGAGCGGTTGCAAAGCGAACCCTGGTGCCTGTCAGGGAGGGCATGCGGCTGTTTTGTGGTGCACAAAGTGTAAAAGAAGCCAGAGCACAGCATGCACTTGAGCACCGAAACACAATGGTGCTGTTTATTTGTCGGAATGGAACCTGGGCATGCGGATGTTGGTGCATTTGCAGCTCATAACTTAAATAACAATGTACCCGTCTGGTTTTAATGCGAGTCAGTTCAAGACAGGCAAAATAGTTTATGCCAACCCTGGTGTAAGAAGTTGAGGAATACTAAATCCAGGTACATTCTTTATAAGGTTGTTGTAATGGTTATTATTTCGCAAAATGTCTTTATTTTTAAAAGATCACATTTCTTTGGCTGTATGAGAAATTGTCCACTGAAGCCCAAAGTCATTTTGCTGTGGTTCTTCTGTAATACTCAGACATGGTACACACTTAACAGTGGAAAAGCAGCTGTGCTAGCATTATTTTTATTTCTGGAGGTCAGCTTGGGGGGAACCGAAATATGTTCTGCAGACTTTGGTTTTTTTCTTTTTTCTCTCTTTTTTTTTTTTTTTTGGTTACTCTGCTTACACCGGAAACTCTGAATAGGTATATTTGTCAGCTTTTACAGTAAATTTCTTCTTCCCCATCCCCCAAACCTGGAGCCAGAAACTGCCATCCCTCCCCACCCTAACTCTGCAAGGAGGCTCTCTGCAGTCGGTGCGATGACTCAGGGACAGGACAGTGCCCGAGAGGAACGCTTCTGCCTCCCGTGCAGGCTGCACTGCAGCTCCTATTTGCTTTGGCAGAGTCGATGGTTTTGCTCAGCATAAACAGCAGTAGCATCGTCTGACTCTGAAATGTTCTCAGTAAAGTACAGATAAATCATTTCCAAATGTAAATAAATCCCTTATAGGACCAGGAAAGCACCTTCAGGATGGGCTTCATTTCAGACCTCCTGAGCTCATTCTCAGAGCTATCAGTACAGCTCATGTCACAGCACTTTTTAGCACTGTCTTCATTAGCACTCAGATAAATTAATATCAATTAAAATTTAAAAAGCAAAATGTGAGCTGTGTTAAAAACCCTTGTGAATTCCCGTGTGCAGAATTAGTGACCTTCATTCCCTTTGCTCACTGCTTTTCCAAAGCCACAAGCTCTATGAGACTGCAACCAACCCAAGATGAAGTCCCACAAGGAATGTCCAGAGAAAGCAAATGCAGCTCATGCAGAGGCTGAAATGCCATCTCCTCCAGCTACTGCTTTAAAGCGTGGAATTTTCCCAATATGCTTAAACATATTTTAGCATACAAACAAAGAAAACAGTTCAACACATAATTGTAGGGTTATCTGCTACCAAAGGTATTTATAATGGCCTTTCAAGATTTCATGATTAAGTGGTATGTAGTGAGGCAGAAAGAGCAAACTCAACAGTACGGCACAGTTGAAGGGAAATAAGTACTTCATTTCTGGAAGAAAGTAAAGCAGAAAAGTTTATTCTGTTAAATATTTTGGGGTTCACTTGCAATATTTGTATTTAGACTCAGTTTTTCGCCCTCCAGGAAGGTGTTAAAGGAATATCTAAGTGTGCATATGACTGCATGTAACTGGAGGAGATGATCAGAATTAAAGCGATTCCTCTTGTTCTGTGCTGCAAAGCATCCACATCTTAATCAGAAAATTAGAATAAATACTTCTGGGGTGGAATTAGGCTTGGATTTGAAGGTTTGAGCCAGATATCCAGCTGCACTTCATAGACCAAAGGCCTGTTGCGATCCTTAGGAATGGGGACTTATCAAGCAGCGTGTTTACAAATCAAAGTGCAGTTAAAAGGGGCAGGTAGCGAGTCCTGCTATCGGTGGTTTTACAAACAAGGGGCCTTCCTGAGCTTTTTTATCCTCTGGCCTCCTGCTATTAACTGCCTCCGAATACTTGATGTAAAATATGGCTCAATAATATCGGCTGACGAAGAACTGGGCTTCCTCTGCTTTCATTGCCGCAGGGCTTTGCGATAGGGCTTTTTAGCTGGCTCTGGGCTTTACTTTTCAAATCGAGGTCTGAGAGGTGCTGTCAGTACAGCTGTCCATGAAGCTGTGTGCTGGCCCAGCTGGCCAGGCCACAAACCTGCTGGGCAGACGGTGAGCACAGCTCTGTGTGGAGCAGAGGCATGACTCTGCTCCAGGATGGCACAGGTACACCCGGTGCTCCCAAAAAATAGCTGTACAGTCATCAAACTAGTGATGGGTTAAATGGCTTTCGAAATGAGGGTGCTTCTCTGGTTTGGTTGTGTTTGTAGCTTGCTTCTAAGCAGCAACCATAAAGTATTTCTCTTGAATGTCTACTGTCTACTCATTTATGCATCTACTTGGCCAGCGTTTAGGTTATTTAATATGCTGGGTATCTGCTGACCAATCGTTATTATGTGCCTGTCAGATAAAGTCAGTCTGAGCTGTCCTTCAAGTGGATGTAAATCACTGCGCAGCCAATCTGTGGCACTGAAGCAATGTAAAGCAGATACACAAAAGTGAAGTCTCAGGAGGAATAAAACAAGCAAGCTATTTTTGGCAGAAGCCTGAAGAAATCAGAATATCGTGCTCAGGAGTTAAGGGGAAAAAAAAATAACAAAGTGGAAAATCAAAATGAACACACTGCAACCTCGCTGAAGACAGCAGAATGAAAGGTTCAGTCCAGAGGCCGTTTGAGAAATAACAGTGATTGTTCATTGCCCCTCTCTTATTTATTTTAATCTGCTAGTTGATAACTTGTAAAGAGGGACACCCTTTTGCGTGTCCCTTCGGAGCGTGTGGCTCACCACTACCACTCTCCTGTTTCACACGTGTAAGAAATGTGTCCACGTAGAGGTGTGTAGGTTTATTGATAGCCATCACTTTTAGGAATGCAGCGTTATCCTCTGCAGAGCAAGTGATCCCCTTTCTGTGCACTACATCCTCCCCGGCTTTCATAAACGTCTAGAGTGATGCAGCTATTTATTATCAGAGCGTGTTCATCACACCCTGCACCTGATGGGGCCCAGCTCCTGCAGACCATGGCAACACCTACCTGTGCGGTGGGGACACCGCAGGCTGCTTCCAGACCGTCCCCAGCTCTTCTGCTTTCTGAATGCTCTTTGGCAACAAAGGGGCTGAATCCCTCAGTATTCCTGCAGCCAATTCACAGCTGGAAGGAACTGCAAGCTTGCTTAATTCAGGTTGGGTTGTCCTCGTGATCCATCTGTGTGATCACAGCATCTGAGCAGCAGAGGCAAAGAGGAGACCTCGGACTTCATCTGTTGGCAAAAAGACATCACGAGCTAAGAAATGTGCACGTACACTGCCGTGTTGAGAGCACCCTGCAGACAAGGGGCTGCCATGGGGATTTTGGCCTTTTGAGTGGCAGGAAAGGAAAATAAATGTCACCTGCATCTTTTTCTTTTTTTTTTTTTCAGCTTCTGCTCCCGAACAACAACCGCAGCCTCGCCCCTACCAAGGTGTCCGCGTCAAAGAGCCAGTGAAGGAGCTATTGAAAAGGAAACGGGGAAATGTTCACAACACCAGTACCACAGCAGCTACAACGGTAGGAGAAGAAACAAACTCAGGAGGAAATTTTTTCTTTGGTAGCTAAATGATTGACCAGCCCTGGCACCAGCTGGCAACACTTCATTAATGAAAGAAATCTTGGAGGTAGTGGAGCCTCACGTTACCTGGAGATACCACTAAACAGATTTTCAATTAAATATTATAAATACATTTAATGCAAATAAAATAAATATGTTTTCACCTTTAAGGTGCTGAGCAGCTTCAATCATCTTTGAGTTAGTTGAAGGAGGAAAGTGCTTTGCACTTGGCAGGGTCTAATTCCTAGGAACAGAAGGTGGCTTGGGATTTAAGCACACTTAGCCCTTCTGAGAAGGGCTGGAATTTAATGCTTACGGTTTTAATCCCTGGATGTTTTTCTTTTCTAGGTTGTTTTGCCCCATCAGACGCTCCCTTCCTATTCACCAATGGGTAATGATTTCCTGCCTTTCTCAGTGTTTGTCAGCACTGCTGCAGGGAAAGCCACCCTGGACTGAGTTGCGATCCTCTCCTGTTTTTCAGGCCAGCCTTGCGCCGATATGGACGGTGCAGCCCCCGCGCTGCCTGTGACAGACGAAGGAGCTCTCTGTTCCGGCTGGCTCTCCCAGCCCTCTCCCACATCCTTGCAGCCTTTAACCCAGTGGACCCCTTACCCTGACTACGTGTCCCACGAAGCAGTCAGCTGTCCGTACAGCGCCGACATGTACGTGCAGCCCATGTGTCCCAGTTACACGCTGGTTGGACCCTCGTCTGTTCTGACTTACACCTCGCAGCCACTGATCACCAATTTTGCAGTAAGTCCAACATCCCTAGCTATAAATGATGGCCAAGGCCCCACCTTCCAAGAAATGTCACGGGGTGTTTAGGGTGTAATTAGTGTCACTTAGTTATTGTAATGTCATTTGTTCTTGCATCCATGCCACGGAGCTGTTATAGCGTAGGCCTTTCTGTACTGAGCTGGGCATTGGAGTGGTTTGAGGACAAAAAGCTGCAGTTGTATTGAAACCAGAGACCCCACTGCCATTTCTCCAGCTCTCTGGAGTGCTCCTGCAGCACTTTCTGTGTCATTAACACACAGCCTGTTCATGCTGTTGTCCTGGGAAATGAGTCCTCTCCCATCACGTCAGCAGCAGGGCTGCCACTGCCCCGAGTTTGTTCAGCTCTGCCAACAGTTATTTACTGTAGGGGAATATCAGATGTGTTGCTTTTACTGTTGTCATCAATTCCAATTTGAGGAGGTGTATTTCAGCTTGGATTTGCAATTGCTGAGAAAGCAGTTGTTCTGACTGGGTTTACTCAATAGCTGATAAATGCTGTCGTCTGGGCAAGTGCTTGGGACGCAGTCTCTCCAGAGATCTGAGTGGTTTTCAGGGGATTTTTTGCTGTTTAATTCCAAACTTTTAACAAAGTAAATGGAATTCTAGGAAGCATCCACTGGGTGGACCAGGAAAATTTTGAATTTGAATTAACCTCCTTCAGCCCTATGGCAGCAACTCTTTGTGCCCATGGGTTTGCCTCGCAAGAGGTGCTGTCAGCACAGGGTGTAGCTGTCTCATGGGCTTACCCTGAGGGTGGGAGCGGGAACAGAAAGCTCGAGGGAACTTGCCGTGAGGGTGAGCTGCTGCTCGCAAGCACCTGGGACACCCACAGCCACCGCTCTCATGGGAGCCCGCGTGGGAAAACTGTCACGCTGGTGTGAAGCTTTGCCCAGAGGGACAGGAAAAAGGGATGTTAAAAGTGAGACCGAGCATCCTTCACCTCGTTTTGCGTCCTCCCCCTGCCCCACCTAACCGATTGCTTGATCTCGTTTAATTTCTCTCCCACTCCAACAGCCCCGAAGTGCCACCCCGGCCGTGGTGCCGCAGCTGGAGGTGGCGGAGCAGCAGCCACCCCTCACGTACTTCCCGTGGGCACAGCCTCTCTCCGCGCTGCCGGCCTCCACCTTGCAGTACCAGCCGGCTTCTTCCACGCTCCCTGGGCCCCAGTTTGTGCCCTTGCCCATCTCCATCCCCGAGCCGGCCCCCCAGGAGCTGGAGGACGCCCGACGGGTCATCGGCACGCTGCCCATTGAGAAGCTGCTCCTAGAAGATGAAGACAATGATACGTATGTTTTAAACCACGCTCTCTCTGTTGAAGGGCTTTAAGTTGCACATCTGGGGCCTGATCCTCGCTTACTCAATGCTCCCCTTGGCGTCAGGGCGAGTTTTGAGTAGAGAGGAAAGCAGGCGGGGAGGGTGGGGGTGGGAACTTGGCTTGGGATTTTGTTGTCCACCTCTAGCACGTGCGTGGAGTGAAACTCGCTTTGTCCTGGGGCCTAGCACAAGACGTCTGTGCTGTCACAGCTCCTGCCGCCTCTCCCAGGCAGGCTTCCAAGCTGCATAGTTCTTGTGCTCAGCCTCAGCACGAGGTGACTTTCATCCTCAGGCACAGGGCACGGCCTAAAATCAATAACCCCTAGTGTAGCCATGGCCAGCTGTAGTGTTTGGTGAGGGTACCTCACCTCTAATTATTATTTCCAAGGCCTTTTTCAGAGGACTGCTTTCTAGAGCTCAGTGTAATGCCCTGTATGTGTCTTCGCCCTGTCCATGAAGGAACCTCTTCCTCATTTAGGCAACTAGAAAATATTTTGGGGGCCTAAACAGAGATTTTTCTTGTCTAAGTTGAATTGTCCCTTTGGAAAACCAGAAAATATGAAGGGAACATTTGGTGCACTGGTGCAGATAGATGCATCGGTCTGAAGATGCCAACGCAGTTGAACTGAGTGTCAGTGCAGCTGGACAGCCCTGTGCACAGAGCAACCCAAAGTGGGCCAGGTGAAACGTTTGGTTTCACCAGAAGGTGAAACTTGAAGGTCTCACCTTGTGTGTAAGTGCGAGACAGACACGTAGGTGTGGGGCAGTGCTTTGGAGTCCTGGTCAAATCCAACGGACAGGTCCTGGGCCCACTGAACTCACCGGGAGCTCTGCCTGAGTCAGGATTGCAAGACATGGCCCGATGTCAGGAGATGATTAAGACAGGGTCTCCCAAAATCTGGCCTTCGGTCTAACAACAAATTCATGGCATTACTGTTAGCTGGCAATGCTTTCATTTCTTCTGTAGCATTTGAGCGTGAAGTTGGTGATGTGCTGAGACAGGGGACCTCAGTGACCTCTCTTGTGCCTTACCGCTACGGAAAGTTTCTCCGCTGTAGTTTCCCAGGTTCACAGGTGCACACGTTTGCTTTATGGCTTTCTGGTTTTCTTTCCTGGAGAATGAGCAGCTTTACCTTTTCCTCTGACGCAACTGTAAATATTATTGCTGATGTTCAGGAGTGCCATGCCACAAACAAACAGACTTGCAGGAGATGTACCCCCGGTTAACTTCGTTTATTGTTTCCTTTAAAAATGAGGGAGTCTTGACTGATGAACACAATTTCTCTGGGTTTTTCTGCTTTCTAAAGCCCAGGATCCGTAGGTGATTTTAGTGTTTGCAAGACTATGCAAAATAATTTATTGCACTGTTTATTACCTGGTGCCCAGCACTCCGCTTCCCACCCAGGCAGTATTTCAAGTAACTTTACAGTTTATGCCTGAGTGAGGTTTGCAAGCTCACAACAAAAGTCTTGAGGACTTGTAAGCATATTTCATTGTTTAATATTAACAAATCTGCTAGACACGAGCAATAGATCATGTAAGTGATCGTAAAGTCATTTGGAAATAGCAGTAGTTGAGGCGCATTGTCATTAGTGGCTTACATTTGCAGAAAAACCCAGCAAAGAAATTAATCAGAAGGAGCTTGGTTCACCACTGGTTACTCCAGCTTTATGAGCACAGAGACGTTCAGTAGGTAAAGCTGGGGTAATGCAGCTGTGAACCAAGCCTGTGGTTGCTAAGATTGCTTTTAAATTTCTTTCACTTCAATGTATGTAAATTCTGTGTGTGGATATAAAACAAAGACGAACTGTTTCAGAATTTCTTTCTGGGTTGTTCTGGTTTAGAAAAAGACAAAATCTTTGCCAATAAAGATCTACGGTAACTTTCACATGCCTAGAGTGTTTTATTTCCTGTCCAAAAGCATAACCCAGCATTGGTTCAGCAGTTAGTCAGTTCAACAACTACACAGAGGTTAGAGCCACAGATCAGCTGCTGGGCTTTCTGCTCATTTTGCACATCAAGGCAGACTAAAGAGGAACCCCACGGTCCCAGTGTGGCTTGGAAGCAGTATTTGCTCACGTAGTCATTACTCACACGAGCACTCCTGCTGCTCGGGTGGTAGTTTGATCCCTGTTCCCCTCCCTCAGTGTCCCTGGGGATGTGAGTGTGCAGTCAGATCTGATGCTGAGCTTGACCGAAAGCTCTAGACCAGCCAGAGAGCTGCCTTTCTACTTCCCAAAGTTGTAAGGTACGGTTCTGGGCTACGAAATCACCCCGGGGGAATCACCCCAAACAGTCACCCGCTGTTTTCCCCTGGGCAGAGGGGAAGTGCACAGCTCCCCGTGCTGCCAGGCGTGCCCGGTGCCCTGGAAATGGGCCGTGGAGGGGTGGAAGTGGCACGTAGCTCTGTGCAGTGCTCTGCAGCACCAGCCGTAGCATGTCCCACATTGTCACCTCACCATCGAGCCTGTCACTGCTATGGGACGTGACAGCTCTGTGTCTTATGCGCAAGGTAAGGACCTGGTCCACCCAATGGCAGTTTTAATAGAGTTTAACTGTCTCAGTTTACAAATACCCTGATGGGAAGGGGCTGTTTGCACCTCTGGGTGGTGAGATATTACCAGCGCATCACCCCAAACCAATTGGGGTATGTGATACAGCACGCTGGGCCCCAGCACAGGGCTTTGGGGAGGACTCAGGAACCCCCTGACACAGGGGCAAATCTCACACAAAAGCGCTGAAGTGGGAAGGAGACAGCGTGTCCAAGCTCAGGAGTGCTAAGGGCTCTTGAAAGCAGCATTTATTTCGAGGTAGGAAGCCCTTTCCCGGGGAGTGGGTGATTTCAGTGTCGAGCCCTTGGGGCTTACGGCATGGTTTTGGGGCCCTCTGGGTACAAACCCCCCAAAGCAGCAATGATACCCTGTAAAGCCATTTGCTCCCAGGGCCAAGCAGTGATCAGTGTCTTTATTTACTGTCTTAGAATTCTACATATTTATGCAGCTAAAGGTATGAGGGCGTTTGCCTTGGCAGCTGCAGAGCGCATGAAAGAGCTGCGAAGACTTGATGCCAAAGAGCACCGAGGAAAGGTAACGCACACCATCTTCTCCTGCAAGCAGCAGCGTTTGGGATGGGCACAGGCTTTGCATGCCTGGGAGGAAAGCGATGCCACAAAAAATCCACCTCGGCCCCTCTGTAGTGCAGAGGAAGCCTGGGGCAGTGACGTGCCTTGCTTAGGTGCCCCTGGCAGATTCTGCAGGTTAGGTGGGATGAGGATGGGCATTATGGCTTTTCAGCCACAGAGTGATCTAAGATAACACTGGCCCTGGAAGATGCCAGCACGTTGGCAGCAGTCTCTGAGGGTGAAGGTTTATGCCAGCAGTGCTGCACCTGGCATAAATAATGTTCTGCAAATGCTGGGCTCGGGTTGTCAGCCAAATGAGGGCTGCAGCACACTAGAGGGAGCTCTGAGGAGCTGAGAAATGTCCCCTCTGCTCTGATACCATGGGTCCTGGTACATGGCATTCAGAATCTGCCTGTGAGCAATCTTTGGCTTGTGCACCTTTGGCCTTCTAGATAGCATTCAACCCAGTCTGCCTCTCCCTTTCTCTCTCTCTCTCTCTTTTTTTTTTTTTTTTTTTAATGATGCTTCTGCTTCTAGACTCTCACAGTTTATCTGCTGTGCTATTTTCAGACTCCTCTGCTGGTGGCTGTCACGGCCAGGCAGCCAGCTATTGTCTATGATTTGATCCAGACAGGAGCAGATGTCAGTGCTGTAGACAACAAGGGGCAGTCAGCCTTGCATCTCGCTGCAACGTACGGGTACGCCCAGGTCCTGCAGGTAGGAAAAGCTCTGATGGTTTTAATTTCTAGCAGTATAAACCTACATTAAAGTCTCAATAGCAGTGTCTTTAAATAACAATCTCAGGTGTCAGTAAGCAACGAAGACACACAGAAGTCTCTCCTTCCATCACTGTGTTAGGGATTATCTTCCTAGGATATTCCTGTTTTAGGATTATGCTCACAGCTAACATCAGCTCCTGTTATGGAGGGAATAGCTCCAGCTTAATTGGGGGGGAATAAGTTCTTTTTGCACACCACGGCTCTCAGTCTGCTGATGGGGCCAGGCACAGTGGGCTGTGCTTGCGCCCTGCTGCCTGTGTTGGAGCAGGGTCCCCAGGGGCTGCAGGCAGCTGTGGGGTGTGGGGAGAAGAAGCACTAATGCCAGGCCAAAACCCTCTCTGCGAGTCCAGTGCCAGCCAGAGGCGAGCAACAAACCGTGTCCGGGTTCAAACCAGCTGAAGGAAGAGCAGATGTGAAGACAGAGCCAGAGCAGGGACATAATAGGGCACATTTTTCACATTTAAAGCAAAGCCAGGAGTCGTTCTGGAAGATTTGCCAGGGCATGGGAGAAACCAGATGCTCCTGTACAGGCAGAATCTTCTAGAGCTTTCACAAGCTATCTGGCCAGAGGGAGAGACATACACATGACCATGATCATCCTGAGTAACCCTTAGAGCCCCCCAGATTTTTCCATGGACAGGGTCTAAACCTAAGCAGTGTGCCAGCCGGGCTCTGACAGCCCCAAAGAGGAATTTGGCACAGTAGAAAAGGCACTGTGGGCATTTTTGGGAGGGCTTACACAGCACAGCTAAGCATATTGGAGTGTGTCTTTTCATTGTGTAGTTTTTAGCCATAAAATAGCATTAAGAAAATGTGACTGCCTTGATTCGTGTCAGGGCTGCTTGCGGGCAGCCCCATTGCAGAGCCTCATGGCAGGAGTTTACCTGCGGGCTGGGCACCGGGCACGGGGTCCTCTGAGGATGAGGAAGGTGTCGCTGGAGGTGCTGCAGGTCCCCTGGCACGCTGGTGGTTTGCTCCAGCATTCATGAGCTCTGCCTTGCACACATGCTGCACCGAAGCCCTGAGCAGGCAGTTAATGTGTAACGTCATGGGTTCCTTGGAAAACAGGTGTTTCGCTCAATGGGGACAAGTGTTTTACATTCAGATGATTCCATCAATGCCTCCTGGAGTGCCTTATGGTAGAAAAGCATCTTTTTTTTTTTTTACTTTAATACCTGTGAAAGGGAATGAGAGAGAACAAGGAAAAATACACACAGCTTTGCTTCTCGCTGGGGTCAAAGCCATGCAGTGCTACAGGGTTTCTTTTGTTTTGTTTTGTTTTCTAATGGCTTAAGCATCTAATCTCTAATCATCAGGCAGCCCAAAGCTACTTGTCAATATTTGAGCTGGATATATTATATTGTTGTTATGATAAGAGAGCACAAGCCCTAACGTTCCTGGATAATCCTCCTGCACCTTGTCCAACTTGCCGAGGCTCTGGATGAGTCACGGCGCTGCATCCTCAGCCAAGATGCTGCAATGCGAGCAGCTCGCTTGATTCACTCAAGAGCAAAAAGTGCTGCTCTGTAATAATTTAGACGAGGAGCGACCTGGCCGCAGTCCCACCAGATCCATAAGGTTCTTAAGTTAGAGATTTCAAGTTTTTCGCTCTGCAAAACCCAAGCAGCCACTGTAATAAGCTACAGCTTCAGCCTGCCGCACATTAAAAAATTAATAATGAAAAGCAAACCCAGCCTGAGAATTTCCACTGTCAGCAAACTTTTAGGTAATCAAGTTTTACTGTACGTATCAGGGAGAGATTTTCATTTATCCTTGCCAAGGATAACTCAGAAGAAATACGAATTGGTGTGATGAAGGCATACATTTGCTTAATCCAGGGTGAAAGTGGGGAGACTAGCACCCTTGAGCTGAGTTTTACTACTAGGGGTTGAGAATCTAGTAGGATCTAACAGGATCTCATACTTTGATGGATTTTAGAGACCTAGCAAATATGATCATCCACCCCCCTCCCCGCTGCTGCCAGTTCTAACTGCTTTTAGCCTGAACAATGTTCTGCTGAATCTAAAATTCTCCTTTCCCATTTCTCTGTCACTTCTAGGTTATACTGTCACTCGGTTTTCCTCTTGATTTAGAAATGAAGAATTTTGAAGGTGAGACTCTTTGCACAAATATTTTATCGTGATGGTAAAAAGAATAATAATCAGGGATCAGAGAAGGATCTAGGGCCTTAAGAATACACTTAAATATGTTGTCCCTGCAAGCCCTTACGTCCTCTCTTTCCATCATTGTCTCTGGGGCTATCGTCACCTCCCTCCCTCCCTGTTTTCCAGGCCATACCCCCCTGCACTGTGCTGTCCTGGCCCACAACGCCCTGCTGCGGGAGCAGGGGCACCCAGGGGTGACGAAGGAGCAGCAGGAAGGTCTCCAGCACCAGAGCGAGGAGCTGGAGAGCTGCATCCAGCTCCTGGTGCAGGCAGGAGCCTCCATCTACAGCCGGGTAGGGAATCGCTTCTGTCTGTCCCTCAGTCACCCCCGTGCTGTTCATTTGTACGAACTCTGACACTCGTGCTGCACTCAAAATATCAAATTGGAGGAGAATGGACTGCTGGCAGAAGGAGCAAACCTGTTTCCCTTGCAAGGAGCTGGTTGCAGAGTCAGCTCCTGCCTTTTGGGGTTGCTTCCCCGCAGCCTGAGCCAAAGGCTGGGGATTTGGGTGGGTGCTGCAGGGAAGGAGGCGCCTCGGTGCTGCCCCTGAGCTGCAGAGCTGGCCTGGAGGCCTTTCTGCTGGGTTTACATAATGGCTTTAAGTTGTTCCGCAGGACGTTCATTGTGCTTTGTTTCGCTGTCTGTAATTAGGACGTGAAAAGCAACAAGACAGTTCTGCATTACACAGTCCAGGATGCCAACATCTCCCTGCTTAGGTACTTCCTGGAGCTGAACGCTTTCAAATCCAGGGATTTTGTCAACAGCAAGGTGAGTCAGGAGCTGCCTGGACGGGGTCTGTGTGCCAGTGTCTGGGCAGAGGAGGTGCTGAGAGCACCGAGCTGCCTGCAGTGGGAGGCTGCAAGCACGTGGAGCCATTGGGGGATCTTTGGGGTCCTGCAGAAACCAGACACTCTCTTCCTGTACTCATTTTTCTAGAGGGAAAAGAACAACAGCTCGTGCTTCTGAGCTTTTTTTTTTTTTTAGTGCCCTGAAACTGCATTTTCCAGTCAATAGGCACCTCACCTGGAAATGTGCTGGAATTGCCGTGAAACGGAGACACCTCTGCCAGCAGCAAGAGCTGACAGAAGGAGAGCAGCTAGGCAGGGAAGAGAGGGAGTGGGAAGTGGTTACTCGAGAAGGAGCGCGAACTTCATTATGCTAGGCTGAGAAAACAGATCTGCAGTGATGCAATGGCCTGCTGCTGGCAGCAAAACAGCACCGAGGGACGGCTGTTGAGGGCTGTGCATCGGGGACCTCTCCTCTCGGAGGGGCCATAAGCAGCGAGCGGGCAGTGCATTTGCTTTGCATTTCAAGAATTTCGCAGGCTCAGCCTTGCAGTCCCCGGAGCATCCACAGGCCTGTGTCCAACAGAGAGGAATCAAACATTTGCTGCTGACACAGTTTTTACTGGGAAGCAAAAACTGGGCAGCTTCACATTTTTTTTTCCCCCTACAGATTTCTGTTGGGCTGGAGGAGAGGAAACATGTTTTGCTTTGTGTGGGGGTAATTGCTCTGGGGTTTTGCTTTTCTGCGAGGTGAAAGGCCTTGCGCTGTCTTTCACTACATTCCTGCTGTATCTCTGAAGACCCTCTAGGCAGGTGCTATCTTGTCCGTGGGAGGCTGCTCTTGTCTCTTGATCGCAGTCCTGTGAGAGCTCCCTGCTGCGATAGCATCGCTTGGAGTCTCCAGTCTTGTTGCTGAGATGCCTGGGACAGTGAGAAATGTAACAGCGAGGCTGGCCGGTCCCCATCCTGGCGTTTTAGCTCTTCCAAGTATGACAAGAAGAAATCAGGGACGCTGTGTTTTGGCTTCCCTGGCTCACCCTCTGCTTGCTGTGGTTGTTTCGTTCCAAATTCAATTCCTTGGGGATTTTACAGTGAGAAAAGCACTGAGGGCTTTGAGGTATTTTTCACCTGAAGGGTTTCTAGAGCCCAGATATTAAAGCTCTGAGCTGTTGTCTCACGTAAGGCCCATTAAAGTTAGTGGAGAGGCTCAAAGATCAGGCATTGCCAGATTGCCCCTGGAGGTTTCTTAGCCTCGTGCCTGGATTTGGAAGCCATCAAATGCTTCTGCCACAAAGATGTGGCAAAAAAAAAAAAAAAAAAAAAAAAGTAAAATAGATGTGTCCTTTTTAATAAGAAATCCTATAAAGAGTTTGTAAACTATCCCTGGACTTTATGGGATGGTAAAATTGACAAGGATCTGCCTGTTCAGGGCTTGTAAAAATGCCTTGACTGGGAATAGTTGTTAAGGTTTCCATCCTAATGTCCTGTTTTGCTCGGTGCTTCCACGTCCCCCCACCTCTCTGGGAAGCAGACCCCAGGCACCCCTTTCAGCACTGTGGGTGCAGGTTGGGCGCAGCCCTTCCCAGGGCAACGAGAAACGTGTGATCACCTCGGAGAGGAAAAAACACGCAGCTGCTGCAGCGAGACCTGGTGCAGACTAAAAATAACTAAAAATACCTCGCCTCCTGCGTCTGCGTGCGAGCTCCTCCTTGCTTAGAGCCGTTAGGGGTCATACCCCAGTGGGCAGGGGCGTGCGTTTGGGGTGCCCCAGCTGCAGCCCCCGCGGGGTGCCCTGCACCCTCTGGTGGCTCTGCAGCTGGCCTGGGGCACAGGGCCATGCGGGGACACGGCTGCTGCTCCTCAGCCTTGCCTGGCACCTCCTGGAGCAGCTCTGGGTAGTTTCAGGGGTCTGGGGACATCGGGGGCACGCACGGTCAAAGGGGATGCCTGGGGATGCACAGGTCAGCAGGAGCTGGTACGGGGCTGCTTGTTGGCCCAGGGCAGTTGTAAGCAGGTGGCACAGCTTCTCAGAAGGTTTCTCTTACTTGGGTCTTCTTCTCCCCTTGCATCAGGCTCATGGCAACACAGCTCTGCACATGGCAGCTGCCCTGCACTGCCACAGGAACCAGAAGGAGATCATCCAGCTGCTCCTCGACCACGGGGCGGACCCGAGCATCCGAAACTTGGACAACGATCAGCCGATCCACATGGCTCCTCCTGGGAAGGCCGGGGACCAGGTACGTCCTCAGGGAAACTGAGGGCATGTCCTGGCCGAGCTGTGTGACGTGGGCCTGAGGTTGTGGTGGTGTGGGCTGGGGGCTGCCACTTCACCAAATCCCCAATCAAGGAGCCCAAAGTGGGCATCAGCAGCTACTCCAAGCCCACCGGGGGAGATACCGATGTGTAGTTCTTTCACAATGGCAGCAAGACTCAAATGAAGATCAAGTTTCGTGCCTACGGGCCTGAAATGGCTCCTGGAGCTCATTTTAGTCTCCAAAATGTTTTTATGTGTGTACGTATTCCTATACATGTATGTAAGGTGTGTGTGTATGTGCATCTGGGTGTCTGCACGCAGCCCATGTGTGCACCCCCCCAGTTTTACCCGGTACACTATAAACTTTTACATTTTTTTGGCAGATCAGGCATTTGCTGAAGAAAGGGAAAATTGCATCTGCATTTATTTCCTGCCGCCGAAATGCCAGGTCCTAGGTTGCCTGCTCTTTCTGGAATGGTTTCCACTTCACCTGATCGCAGAAAGCCTCCTAAAAACCCCTGTGAGGACAGTTAATCGACGTGTCTGTGCCCCTAAAATCTTTAACCCCGAGTGGGACGACAGCGTTTCTCAACCTGTGGCCTGGGGACCGTGAGTAGCACGTAAGATACCCAGAGATAAAATTGGGAATGGTTGAGAAGTTTAGTTTGCAATAACCCCGTTGCATAAATTAACAAACATTTGGAGCGTGGCCACTCTTTGGCTTGGTGGCAGTGGAAACCCCGTGGTGGTGGCAGAGCACAAGGTGATCCTTTGGCTGTAAAAGGTTGAGAAATGCTGCTCCAAGGCACGCTCACCCTGTGCCTCCGTTAGGTCCTGTACGGAGGTACCGGGTGAAATGCTGAAGCCTTTGTGATGTGCAATTACCTCAGTTGCTCCTGCTAGCCTGGGAATCCTGAACCTGAGGGAGGGAAAGGACTGGATGGAGGAGGTCAAGCTAGCCCGGGGAGCTTTCCACGGCATGGCACGGCCGTGTCCCCCCTGAAGAGCAGGCGTCTGACCTCAAGGCCTCCAGGGGAGGGTTCCTGCAAGCTGCTGCTATCCCGTTTCTCAGCACTTTGGAAGAAAGCTGAATCAGCTGCCACTGCTCCTCGCCCCACCCCGAGAAAGGAAAGCAGACGCCTGAAGTATGAGTGCCTGGGGCAGGTTCTGAGCAGCGCAGGTCCGCATGGCTCCAGAGAGGTTCCTGGGGACGGGATGCCTCTGAGAGTCTGATCCGACCCCAGCATGGCAAAGAATGATGTGAGAGCACCTCAGGGCAAGAAGCTCAGCTCTCCCCGGAGATAAAGCCTGTGCTGGAGACGGAGCCTTCCCTGGGGTCTGCAGCAGCTTCTGGGGGGACAGGGCAGAAAACCTTTAAGGCACGTGGGGCTGCCCAGAGGGTCAGAGGGCAACGTGGCCAGTGCTGTCCTGTTCCCACTCCTGCCTAAGGGGGCCTGTTAGTGAACTCTTATTCTTTCTGTGAAATGATTTGTAAATTGCTGTGCAATCAGCTGGCAGCGGTGTCTCTGCCGGGTCAGCAGGAGTGGAGGTAAATGCCTCCAGGGAGGGAAAGCTGTGTTTTGGTAACCCTTGCACGGAGGGTGCCTCATCTCCAGTGCACGTTCCGAATTTTGCTGCTTTCTTAGTCTTGCACAAGTTATTTTTCTTCTATCAGGGCTGAACAATGAGGCGAAGGGCAAATCTCTCAAATCACTGCAGCGATTTCCTTGATCTGGCTAACTCAAAGAGACGAGGGTTGTAAGGTCTTGTGGGTCGAGCAAACCCGGTCTGTTCAAACAACTGCTTGAACAAAAGCTCTTAAGAAAGGCAGGTATCCTGATTAGAGATCTTCTGACTTCCCCAGCCCTCCTCCTTGCTGTTTTGCTACTGCTTCTCACTACATCACGTCGACGAACCTGCCAACATCCTCTGACAAAAGAGCAGACATATTTGCATGTGTTTGCATAAATTTGCATGCATCTGGGCACAGGCCATCCAAAGCATGTGCTTTCTTACATTGAAGGGATGCTGTAACAAGCCCCAAATCGAGTGAGAGCTGTGTTGGTGATTGTCCAGACAAATGGCCAATAAATTATCTCTTTCTTGATCTCGCTAGCAATGAAACTGTAAAACCGTGACGGGCACTTGGCAAGTGAGGCACCCAGGAAGATGTAAAAAGCTTGTTGCCATCTAGAATTGCCTGGGAGGTGACCTGTTGTAGCAAGAAAATAAATACACGAGCTGTTTTCTACACGGTCTTACGTCTTTATTGTCTCACCTGCCTGCCGTTGGGTGTTTAATGCATCAGGGGCTGTGTGAGCACCACCTGCAGAACATCAGGGAAATATCGGTGTGGGGAGGGAGGGAGGGAGGGATGTGGCCTCTCCCAAAGCAGCAGCCTGGCAGGCTGTGTCCCTCGGAGGTGGTAGCTGAGATTTGCAGAGGGAAGAGCTCTCGACTGCCGCAGGAAGGGTTTGGTGTCTCTGCAGCCATCCCCGTGTTCAGCTTCCCAAAGCTGGTGCACCAAGACCTGCTCTGAAGCCGCTCCCCATCACCAGGCCGTTCCTATTATCTTGGGACTGGGTCCACAAACCTTCCCCTTCCCTGCCCAGCCAGCCCCTTCCTGGCCTGGGCATCAAGAAAATCCATTTGGGGGCTCAGAAGTGGCCCCCGTGTTAATCAGTGCTGGGGTGATTTGAGTAGGATCTTTGTATTTCAATTTTTTTGTGACTGCATAAGGGGAATGTACCTTGTACGGGTTTAGCAGCAGCACTGGCGGCGCGACACCCCTTTATTTCCACAGTTTATCTCTTCCTACCTGTGGCTTTGGGTAAGCTGCTCATAACAAAGGCTGCTTATCGCTGAACAAACGCGCTCAAGTGGCACCATGGAAAAGTCAGCAGTGGTTGGCAAGGAAAACTTTGTGATCAAATATTCTGTGTAACTGGTGAAGGACCTGAAAATAATTTTATATTTTTTTTTTTCTCTGTAAGTGCAGCTTCTGGAGTGATTCCTGGCTTCTCTAAGAATGGGGTGGTCCTAGATGTATGTGTGAGTGCACGTTTATGTAGGCTGGCAGAAGTTCACCTGGCAGGGCCTGATGAAAGGGCAGCGTATTGGTAGTGTGATGCCAGTTCTGTTAGAGATATGGCACGAGCTATTATCACCTAATCTTTTTTTTTTTTTTTTTTTGGGGGGGGGGGAATGGGTAGAGAGGGAGGAAAAGAGGGGAAAGAATACGTCCCTCATAGCCAGAAAATCCACAATCAGCCTTTGAATAGCCCTCCTCTGTTGTTTTCTTGCTTTCTGTTTGTAGTCAGTCCAGGAATTCTTGTGTCAACAGTGAGCAAGCTGTAACTCGCGCTGCACGTGTCACCTGGGGCTGTTGACACAAAGCCGGGGAACAGCGTCTAAAACCGTGTTTGTTAGCAGTCCCGGGCATGGGAGGTTGCAAAACAGCTGGAGAAGGAGCAGCAGAGAAATGGGAAGCGGCTGCGAGGGATGGGGGACAGTGACACGAGCTGTTGAAGTCCCAGGTGCGTGAAGACACTGATGGAAATCTCCCCGTCGCGTCGGGGCAGCTGGAAATTCGGAGCAGCTGGTCCCGTGCGGCACGAGGCCAGGGATTGTTCGGCCTCTGTTATCTCTCCAAGCACACAGGCTCCCGGCACAGACCTCAGCCACCTGCTGCCACAGACGCGTGGCAGCCCAGAGGCGAGCCTGGCTCGGTCTTTCTGGAGGCAGCTTCCTCGTCGGGAGGCTGCTTTTTTTTTTTGCCTGGTTCTGGCCACATCTAAAGAGCCAGGGGTAAGAAGCAGGGTGCCAGGGGGTTGTAGCCCTGCCGGTCCCAAGTGGTTGAGCCTAAAGAGCGGTCGCAGGCTCGGTGACACAGCCAGAGGCTTTGCCCTGAGTGCTCCTCCGGGGAGATGCACGGAAACCGCTGCTGGCTGTGCACATCTCGGCCACCACCCGCTGATAAACGTGCGGCTGCTGATAAGGTATCAGGCTCAGATATCTGCCTCGCGTGCAGGTGAGGGAGATGATGTCGGGCTGCAGCTCAGCTGACGTCCCTGATGGTGTTTTTTTGGCAGATTGGGATGCTGCTGGCCTTGTTGTGAGCTCTTAATGTAGGCTCTCTCCCCGTTTGATGCTCGCCCATTTCCACAAGAGCCCCTCCTGCCCGTCCCGCTGAGCTCCAGCTGCCACTGCCAGCCCACGGGCAGGATGTGGTCACACCATTTCCAGCAGCCTCAGATATCTTGCCTCAGCCTTATCCTCTTGGGGCTGTTTGATGCTGGGGATAACTTTGGTGTGCAGCTAAACCCGTGCCCACCCCATGAGAGCATTGGGCAGGAGCAGGAGCGAGCTGTGGAGCCAGCTGGGCGGGCACCGGGAGATCCTCCAGGCTCCTGAGACCACCCTTAGGGGCTGGAGCATCTGAAACACAGCTAAAATAACACTGCCAGAGTCTGCACAGGGGTAATCACACCTCTAACTGCAAAGATGCAGCTGCGAGCTCCTATTTATAAGCTTTTTGTGACCAAACGTGTTGAATGCTTGGGCCGGCGCTGAGCTGAGCTGGGTAAAAACGGGGGAGAGGGGAAGTCAAAGTGAAATGCTTTGTGACAAAGTATTTTAAAGCAAACTTTGGGGAAAAAAAAATAAAACAAAAAAGAAAAAAGCTGCTGTCTTACACAAGGCAAGGGACCTGGATGCTGGGAAGGTTCAGCTGGGTCCATGTAACGGCTCTGCCATGGCAAAACTGACACCCCTGCCAGCGACCTGTTTTCTGAGGAAGGGTGGGGGACAAGGCTGGATTAACTGGCATCAGCTGAATATTTAAAAAGTTCCAGTAAGAGCTGTTGCTCTGCTCTTAGTTCCTCATAGATTTCACAGGGTGAGGAAGTGCTGGGGGATGGGTTTTTGGTCGAACAGGGGGAAACTTCCCTATTTGTGCATGCCTCACATCCCCAGCCACTTGGGCGACATCAGCTCGGGGGGAAGAAAGCCTTCCAATTCCCTGTGGGTATGTCTGGAGGGGAAGATGAGCACACAGCTAGCTAAGCAGGGTCTTTGCCTTCACAAATGTGACTGCTTTTTATTTTCGTCTGGATTTAATGTGGAAGAATGCTTCTTTCTTTCCAGCCTGGGTGCTGAGCTGAGAAACCACCAATCTGCCTAAATGGTGTTGAAAGGGTGTGAGAGAAAGAGCCTTGGTAAGGTCTGGGGTTATGCAGGAAAACAGGGAACCCTCAGATGCGGTAACTTCCCCTTTATACACTTTAAAATAAATCATCTGGCTCCTGTTCAGCTGGTTATGCTGAAAGGAGAAGACCTGCTATCCCCAAAACTCTGCCTTCCTGGTGCTGAGCAGCAGCTGAAGGTACCGGGTGCTCAATTCCACCCCAGTGTGGACCTGAAGGGCTTTTCCCACACACAGCCCATGTGCTGAGCCCAAAGTTTGCCTGGAAAACCTCAATTTTCCAGCTTTGCAAGAACTACCCAAGAATTATCGCAGCAGTTAAGGGAAATCTCAGAGCTCTTCATGGGCAGCGGGCTGGGTGCTGCTGGGCAGGGGCAGCAGGACTTCAGTGACCTCAAGTCAAACCCTCACCTTTGTGAGGACAGGGCCGGGATCCTCGTCATTAGCAGAAGAAAAAAGGACGTAACGAGTGGGATTCAGTGTGAGTACCAAATGATTTATTTGTACTAAACGAGCTGGCTTAATGACACGTGTTTGGCAAGGCAGCTTGGGATCTCCTAAAAACAAAACAAGGGAAACAAGATAAAAAAAAAATAAAAATTGTGCCTGCCCATGGAAGACAGGAGGACTAATGTAGTGGCAACATCGTGTGGAAGATGTGTGAGTAGTGACGGGTGGGTTGGACCGTGCGAGGCCCTGCAGCTTCGCAGAGTTCGTGGGCAATTCGTCTGCTTGGGGCAGGGCAGAAGCGCGAGGCCCCGTTCCCATTAGCTGTAGCAGACGTCCCAGCTCCTGTCCCGTCGGAAGAAGTCATCGGGCACGGGCGGGAGGCAGTCCAGGCAGTCCGTGCTGGGGCAGGAGAAGATCTGTGGGCCCCTGGTGTCGGCGTGCTGGGGGCCGCAGGCTGTGCAGCAGCAGGCAGGGGCGGCGTACGGGGACGGGGGGTGGCAGGGCCACTCCTCTGCCGGGTAGCCGTGGGTCGGGGTGTCCAGAGCAGAGGGTGGGCTGTGGGTCAGCGGGGTGAAAGGAGGCAGCTGAGGAGGAGAGCAGCTGGAGGTGAGAGGGCTGGGCAGGTCAGCCAAGCTCGGGGGTCCGGCAGCCTGCAGGGGGAGAGGGGAGAGAAAGGGGAAAGAAAAAAAAAAAGAACAGGGCGGTTTAGGGTGTGATCTGGGGAGCCTGCGGGCACCAGGGGAACGGCCAGGACCTCTGCACTGCTGCCCTGCCCTTACTAACAGTAACCGGGCTGCTCCTTGCAGGACATCTGTAGGATCTGGAGAGGGGACATCCCCTTTTCTGCAGCCTCTTTAGGCTTTAGTGCCCTCCCCGTCCTCTGCTCCAAGGAGAAACCAGGCAGAGGACCACGCCAGCAGCCTGGGTTGCTGTGGCTGCACCCCATGCCCCTGAAGCACTTTGCAAATCTTTTAGGATGGGACTCCCGGCCCCAGCCTCCCTCGGAGCACACCGGCACGCCGTGCTTACCAGGCCCTGGTTGAAGCAGAGCGGGACAGGCTGGAAGGAGTCCGAGATGTAGTGCGAGGGCGTCTGGAGAGCGCCGAGGGCTGGCTCTAAGGTTGCCTCTGTCTGAAGGCAGGAGTCCACCAGCTGCTCCAGGTAGCTCGGGCTTTCCTCGCAGGAGGGGCAGTTGGAAAACTGCCAGGATGGGCAGCAGTTGGGAGCAGAGGAGATGGGTTCTGCATCGAAAGGCACTAGGAGGGAAGGTAAAACAAGCAGGTGCAGGTTATTCGGTGCCTGTCCGCACAAAGATTTCAGGACTCTCCCATGTTCAGTGGCCCTTTGGATTTAGATACAGGTGAGATACGGCTGCATCTTCTAGGGGAGCTGACACCAGGAGGAAGAGGTTCAAAAACATGAAGAACGGGGTAACAGACGAGTGATTTACCCTTTTAGCCTCCACCGAAGCAAACAGAGAGGAGAGAAACCCCCGGGCAGGCAGGATGGAGCAAGCTGGCGATAACGCGGCTTTGCGCCCAGGGGCGAGAGCACGAGTTGAGCAGAAGTGGCTTTGGAATGATTACCTACTGGTGCTGTGCTCAAATCTGGGTCAAAGCAAAGCCCTGAGCACATGGAGGGGCGAGGTCTGGAGGCAGCGGGGCCGCACACAGGTAGAGTCGCTCAGCTGTGTGCAGGCTCAGGGTGGGAGCGTTTAGCGGGATGGGGGGGATGAACAAGAGGCACCCAAAACACGTAAACAGATGGCGATTTACCAGCCTGGAAGAGCTTTAGCATGGCTCATGTTTCTGTATTAACATAAGCAAATTGATTCCCAACTATTGATGATTTAATCATTTCCTTGTCCACACAATGTATATATTCACACCTGCCAAAGCCTTCAGGTCTCTTTGCTTTGGCCGCAAAACGATCGACGGCTCTGAAAGCCCAACGGGCTGTTCCCCCAGCCCTTCCCCCTTTGCCTGGATGTTCACCTACACGAGGAAGGAGCTCTTTGTGTCGCTGAAAACCTGACACTCCTCTGGCTCCTGCCAAGGCTGCCAGGAGAGCAAGAAGAGCCCCAATGCTGCTGGGGCTCAGCACGGTGCCCCATGGCGTGCCGGCCCCCCGGGAGAGCAGCGCTGCTCCCTCGGGGATGAGCATCCCTCCTGGAAGGGGCTCTCCCTTCGTGCTGTGGGAAAAATAAACTGCATAAACGAGAGCATTTCAGCGTGCTGGTGTAGAGGGTGATGTGTACCCTGCCGGCCTCTCGGCATCCTCATCTGCATTTCCCGGGCTCCGTTCAGGTGCTGATTGGCTGCACTGCTGGTTATCTGGCACTGCCTGCCCGCACCGAGGGCTGGAAGGTCTCTGGGCTGTGGGAATAGTTGGGAAGGGCCGTGCGGATGGGTTTTGTACCAACCTGGGTGAGGAGGAGACACAGACTCCGAGAACTGGATGCTGCTGCTGCCCCACGAGACCTGGCCAAAGAGAAGCGAAGAGGAGGGTTTGTAGATGCTGCGACACAGAGGCATTTTCCTGCGTGCTGAGGTAAGTCAGGGTTTCGCTTCAAACTATTTATGTAAACCTTCATTACCTCGTGGCTGTGGCAGAGCAAACCTCCCTAGTGTTGACAGAGCAACACCATTTCCCCTGAGCCTATGTAGATAACGGTGCTGGAGGAGCCCAGCACCAACCTGGTGCAAAGGAGAAACCCCAAAGAACTTGGAGGGATAAATATGCTTCAGAGCGAGCCACTGAAGCAAGAGTGGTCTTGAAACGTGACCACAGGCGACTGCAGGTAGCCCCAGGGCTGGGCTGGCTCGTGGTGGTGGTGCCGATGCCATCGGGGATCCAGCTCTGGCATCACTCCCCACTGCCACAGCTCCGTGCCCCCATGGAAACAAACGGGCTCATTTTTGGACGGATATGGGAATCCGAAGGTGAGAGGCCAGCATCTGTCCTAGGAGCCTGACCTGCCGGAGGGGAGAGAGCCACCCAGAAGCACCAGGAGTGTCAATGCTTGCTTGGGATCAGAATCTACTCTGCAAATGTAAATCCTTCCCCCTCCCCCCCCCCCCTTGTTTTAATTCACACAGATTTCCACTTCATTTCCTGTATTCAAAATGCTCCCCGGCTGATGGCTCATTTCCCTGCTAACAGCTTCCTATCCCCAGGTTGAATTCATTAAGCAGTGGCTGCTCTGGGCTCTGACAGTGCCTGCAGGGCTCCTCCTGCTCGCCGTGGCTGCGGACCTGCACCACGGCAGAACTTTTCGGGTCCAGCTCCCCACAGGCAGCAGCTGATCCCCCCCCCAGGACAACGTGGACCTTTTTCAGGCCACAAAAGGAGCCTCCTGCACTGCCACCTTCTCAGTCTTCCCTTTGTGGGCGAGACAAGCGTTACATCAACCTGCAGTGGGAAGCACAAACCAGATCCAGGCAGCCCCGTGGCTGCTGGTGGGGAGGAGGGAGCATTTCCAGAGCCCAGCAGCTCTGTGCTCGGATCACCCCAGCCTCTCCGTCCAGCCCGCAGGCTGATCAGCTTTTTGTGCAATCAGCTGCCACCAGGCACAGGAGGTGGGAGATGAAATCTGAAAACCATCCAAAGCGGCGGTGTCGCGAACCAGGAAGAAGTAATGATTTACCAACCTTTTTTATGCAAATCCCCAGCGTGGCTGGAGCTGGAGGGCTCTTACAAAGACTGGATGGTTTTGCCTGCATTGTGCGCCTGGGATCCGATCTCCTTCCCCTCCCAGAAGGGGCTCGGAGCTGCCCAGGTGGTGCTGGACAATGCTGGAGACCCGAATTTGGCCAAGCACTGGGATGTGCCCCTCGTCCTGCACTAAGGAGTCCTCATGGAGTAGAATGGAGCCCTCCTTAAGGGCTCTTTGCCCGTGCCTGGTTTTCTTCCTTTTTGCCGGCTAAAATTTGGAACAATTGCTAAGTCCCAATTTTTTGGCCCGTCTCCATCACTTTTTGCTGCTTTTGCAGGGCAGAAATTTGCCCTGGGTGCTCCTCAGAGCTGCACGGCGAGGGCTGAAGGTGTCTGAGAGGCACATCCTCCACCTGGTGCAGCACAGTGCTTGCTTCAGCCCAGCCACGCCACGTTTTAAACAGGGCTCATCCAGCAGGGACACTGGATTTGCTGGGAGAAGCACAAGTGGGACTGGCTTGGCCAAAAAATAAAAGGTGAAAGGGGAAGAGACAGCAGATATCAGAAGTTTTTCACTTACTGTCGCACTGCTGGCCGCCTGTCGCGCCCTCCTCTGCTGCAGTAACTCCTTGACTGTTATCTTTACTCGCACGCCTTGGTACACCTTGGGCTTTCCTGGAAGAATTCATGGAAAAAAAAACACTTAATGGGGTGGGAGACTTGCAGAGCACAGGGCACATCCAGCGAATTTTCAGACACGCTCTAGGTGGAACCAACTTAGGACTGACAGATATCGGTCTCTGGACGTTACCTGTAAGCAGAGTTCCCAGCCCTCTCTCACACCTGCTATTCAGGCTCGTGACAAGCAGACATTTATGAAAAAGTTGGTGTTGGATTATATGTATTAATTATACGTGTTCTGTTCTTCAGTATCTCTTTCTTTTTCCCCCCCTCCAGGTGTCCTAATACCCAGCTCCATCTGGCGCTACTGTTGAATCCATTTAAATTCCTGTCATATTTGCCGCTCTTAGGACCTGAAAATAGATGTGGGAACCACTTCATCTGGCAGATGAAGAGCAGGAATAAAACAATGCAAATATGTGGGTGGTTATTCAGAGGGCTAAATAAAACACAAATAAAATGACTGCTTTCATGAATCGCTTTCTGCAAAGCCGAGATTATCTCTTTATCTTGCTCATTCTGTACAACTCCCATTTATTTCAAAAACAACAACCAAAAAAAAAAAGCATTTAGGATGTCTTCAATCCAGCCAAAAGCAACAAAACCATCAGCCACTATACCTATCACCACGAGGGATTTTTAGTACAGGAAACAGCAAAGAATTTATCTAGTCTGAAAAATCACTTTCACTCGCCGCACTCATGCCGAAATACTCAAAGCCTCTGGCAGTTCGGTTTCCGTCCCGACTTTTCTGCCTGGTATTTTCACGCAGTGGCAGACCCTACAAACAGCGGGGTGGCTGCTGGCGGGTTCCCTGCCCTATTGCGAGAAGATGGGGCTGGGGGGCTGCGGGGCTGGGGGCTGGGGGGCTGTAGGGCTGGGGGATGAGAGCTGGGGGCTGTGGGGTTGGGGAGCTGAAGGATTTGGGAGCTGAAGGGTTTGGGAGCTGAAGGGTTGGGGTCTGGGGTCTGTGGGGCTTTAGGGCTGGGGGTTTCGGAGCTGGGGGGCTGCTCCGCACCTCCCCTATGCTGCCTGCCCCCAGGGAGGTGCTGAGGGTTCCCCAGAGGATTTTGCCCTGCTGAACTGGGCTGAAAAAAAACCCTTTTAGCACGCCCTAAGGCCGGGGAAGGCTGGGGGGCGCCCAGCCCCTCCTTCAACCTGCCCCAAACCCCCCGGGGGGCGGCGGGAGCCGGGGGCTCGGCGCTGCTCAGCCCCGCCGAGGGGCCGGGGGCTGGCGGCAGAGCCCCCCCTGCTGGGGGCCGGGGCTGGGACAGGACAGGGCCGGGGGATGGGGGGCGAGACCGCGACCCCAGAGCCTCCCCCCTCCCCGTGTGCCCGTGCCCTCCGCGGAGCCTTCGCTGCCTCCTTCCTCCTCCTCCTCCTCCTCCTCCTCCTCTCCTCCTCCTCCCCGCCCTCGCCGCTTCCTCCCCGCCCGGGCGCCGAGCTTTGGCCTCGCAAGGCGAAATGACCCCGCGGAGCCCCAAAAAAAGGGGCCACCGGGGGGGCCCCCCGGCTCTTACCGGACATGGCGAGAGGTGGTGGAGGGGGCACCCCCCGGGAGACCCCCGGCGGCGGCGGCCCAGACCCCAACCCCGGCCCCGCAGCGGGGCCAGGGGGCTGCGGGCGGCGGGCTCGGGGTTGGGGGGCGCAGGACCCCGCTGGCCCCGCGGCGATGGCAGGCGGTGGCCGGGCCAATATTATGGTTTTATACCCCCGGGGAAAAGTTTGAGTTTTTCTCCCCTAATGCCAAGTATTTAAAACCTCTAGAAACCAATGATTTGACAATCAATGATTGCGCGATACTTTCAATTTGAATATTCAAAGGCTCCGCAAAATGGGCTATCTTTTTGTGAAAGCGAGCACATCCCCATCTAGCAGAGGGGCTGGGGGAACAGGATTCGGCGGGGCCACCCTCCCCACCCCTTGCTTTTGGGACATTTTCAGGGTTTTAGCCATCTTCCCCCAAACGAAGCAGATGCCTCGAAGCCAGCTCAGTGTTTTCCCCTCAGCCGCCCAGGCTGGGCTCCAGCCCTCTCATATTTCACTTGCTACCTGCAGAGAGGACTCCTCAAGGGCCGCCTGTGGCTTTTTGCACGATTTGTCGCTTTTTCGGGGCAAATATGAAGCTTTTCAGACCAAAATGGCACGGGGTGGGCGTGGCGCAGCAAAGAGGCCGCCCTGGGCACCCGGGTGGCAGGCAGCACCCGAACCCCACTTCTTCCCCCAGGACCCCCTCCCCTCTGCCAGATGCCGGCCTTGTCTTGGCGTTTATTTGCATTTTTTCCCCCAATTCGGGCACTTTGCTGCTCCTGCACACAGTGGCCTCTCCTTCGCGTGCCTCAGCTCAGGCCTGCCCCGTGTGCTTCGAGCCGCGGGGCTGCAGGCCGCCGGGACCACCCAGATTTTGGGTAACCCCTCATCACCACACAGCACCGATGTGGCCGGGGGCTCGGTTTTTAAGGTCACACTCCAACTTTTCCCTGGGCACTGCAGCCTCTGCCCTGCCTCGGGAGTCGCCGGCCGATGGCAGAAAGCAGGCCAGGCTGTTAATAATCTACCAGCTGCTCAGCTTGGCTATTGTTGCAGCTGAATCTTTTCTTTCTCCTGAAGTTGGACAAATACACTCGATTTTGGGGCACGGCGGCGATCCTTTCCCTCGTGCAGCGGGGCCAGCATTGCTCTGCCCCAGAGGGGAGCCCTCTCCTCGTCCTGTTCTGGAGCATGAGGGGTTCTGGGGGGGTCTCAATGCAGGCCTGCCTGCACCAAGGGGTTGGGGCCCCTCAGCTCCTGCCATGCTGGGGATGCTTCCCCCTGGAGTGCTGGTGGCAGGGGGCTGAGCCCCAGCTGTGGCCAGGAGCCCCTTGAAGGGACGGCTTTGGGGTTGGGAGCGTTTGCAGAGCCCCTGCCTCGGTGAGGAGCCGAGTGCCAGAGTGGATCCGACACCTCCAGCACCTCAGCCCTGGCTGCTGGCTCCATCCCTGGGCCGGGCTTTGCCAGCACCCCCCCCGGGGCAAACAGAAAGGCGCAGCCTGCAGGGTGGGTGGGTGAGGGCTTGGGGCACGCAGAGCCGCGGGGGTTTGCTTTTCTGGACGGGTCTGAACAGGGCCGGGGAATCAGGAAGCAGCAGCAGGGAGCGGAGCCAAGGCAGGGCTGGAGCCGGGTGCTCCCGGCCGGCTGCGGCCGCACACCGGGGACTGTGGGGGGCTCGGCCCCAGGGGGGGTGCCGGGGGTGCAGCGGTGGGGCTGGGCTGTGCCTGGCCATGTGGTGGCACCTGAAAGCTGCAGCACTCCCACCCTGTCCTCTGATGCCAGCAGTGTGGCCTAGGGGGTGTTTTGGGGGGATCTGAGCAGCCTGGGGGCTTTCTGGTGGGGGTGGACGTGCAGCTGCAAGGGGGGGCTTTGTGGAAAGGGACCCGCTTGGCAGCCCCGTGCTGTGTTGCTCATGGGGATCCAGCACCGCTGCCTGTTTGTGGGTACATCGCCGTGCCCCCAGGTCCCATGTGCAGGGGTGCTCGGGGCTGTAGGGCATGCAGGCCTGTGACCCCAGGCTGGGCTGTGGTCCCTGGAGGGGGCCGGGGGGCTCCCAGACCCCCCCCCATCCCCAGGGTTTAAGGGGAAAGGGCGAAGCAGCAGCCTTCAGCCACCCCATCACCGCCCCCTTCTCAGGCCCTGGGTCCCACAGGGAGGATTTTTGGGGTTAGGGGGGGAGACGAGATGGGGGCCAAGGGGTGCAGAGGGCTGTGGTGTCTGTGTGGGAGCGTGTTTGTGTGTGTGCAGAGCTACCTCTAGTGGCCGTGGCAGCCCGGCCTGGCACTGGGACTGCAGGGCGGCTGGGTGCCCCATGGCAGCCCCACGAGCTGCAGGCAGCTCCTGGAGCCCACGAAGCCTTCGCTTGCCTCATCTGAGGCAGGCGAGGCACCATTATGCTATTGACCAGGGCTTCCCCCAGCCCCTGCCTCGCTCCCCACCCCTCTTTTGGTGGCACCGCTCTGGGGATGCAGTTTTTCCCTCAGCAGCTGAAAGCGAGTGCCTGAGACCTGTCCCTGCAGCACAGGCCAGTAACGTGCAGGTATTTTTCAGGCTGTGTATTTTACTCGTAGCACAGCGGGACGGTGAGCTCTGGCTTTCCTAAGGCACCAGAGCACCCCTGTAAGCTAAACGTGGCACATCCAGTGACCTCTAACCAGAGCGTGAAGCATTGCGTGCTGTCAGCATCCTCGGTCTGAAGGAAACTGCTGGGAAAAAGCATGCGAGTAGCTCGTTTGCCTCAATCACAGTCAGCGCCTGCCCTTCCCTCCAGCTCTCATCCCTCCTCAATAAGTTCTCCGGCCTTCGTAGGTGCCCCAGGAGGGATTTCCATCCTCCTTCGCCCAGGCAGAGTTATCGTGGAGGGGCGGCAGCTCCGCGGGACGGCTCTGGTGAGAGGTGGCTCATCCTGGAGGCGAGCTCGCTCGCCGCGGTGACGAAGGGCGAGAAGGAGTAGGGCGAGGTGGCGGCATAGCCAGGCGAGTAGTGGGCATCTTCAAGGGGATGCAGGGGGTAGGGCTGGGCTCCGGGGCCGGCCGGGGTCCAGCTCGAGCTCCGGTACGGGGAAGAGCCTCCGGGCTCGTGCGAGGCGAGGCAGCCGGTGCCCGTGGGCAGCGCCTGTGGAGGGTCGGAGCACGCAGCGTCCGACTGGCCCAGGCTGTCAGCAGAGGTCTGCTCCCACGGCTCTCTCTGTGGAGAAGCAGGGAGAGAAGGCGAAGAAGAGCTGTGAGGTTTAAAGCTTGTCCTGGAGGGGATGGCATACCTAGCCTGGCGTCACCACGCCACGCTCCCCTCCCCGCCCCGAGCCTGGCTGGGAACGCTCACAAGGGTTTCTGTGGGGTTAGAGGGGTGTTAAAAGTGCTGGAAGGAAACATCCGTGGGGTTAGCGGTGGGCAAAGCTGGGCACAGGCTCCCAGAGCACTGACCAGCCCTGATCCTACAGGGTTCAGGAGCTCTGCCCTGCAGTGTGAGCCAGCTGGCTGCGGGGAAGCAGCAGGGATAGGGACAGGGACGTGCATTGGGGTAGGGAGAAGGAAGGGATAGGCAATTTTCTGGAGCCAACGCAGGATGTTTCCAGCAACTTCAGGAGCTTAATGGAGCTGTTGTTTGGGGAACAGGGAAGTTCATGTATTTAGCAGCCACTCTCCAACAGGAAAAAGGGCCATGAGGTGGGAACAGAGAGAAAAATAATTCCCCATCGGCCACGTGCTCAGCTGGGGCTGCCTCATACAGTGGCCATTTCCTTCCCATATGGGACCCCCTGACCTAACCCCAGCCTCAGTCGGGTAATCGCTCACGGGGGGCCAAGAACCAGAGGCACTCACTAGTAGGAAATGCGCCGTGTCACTGGGGAAGGATGGCAGGAGAGGGGGCAGCGAAGGAGGGCTGAAGAAGGAGCTGGTACCAGGCGTGAGGGGAGCGCTGCGGAAATCCCCGTATTGCTCGGGGATATAGGGGTCCAGAAGCGTTGGGTAGCCCTGGGTGGTGGAGGAATCGCACGTGAAGGGCTTGGAGCCCAGCGGGGATGAATAGACATCACTGACAAACTGCTTGGTGTTGTGGAAATCCAAGTCAGCTGTGAAGGATCTCCTGACTCCGTAGTAACCAGCCGTGGTAGGGGAACCTGTGGCAGTCAGAAAAAAAAGGGATGGCTAAAGGGAAACCACACCAGCAGCACCCGGGGAGCTGCAGAGCATCTCCACAGGTGCCAAGCAGAGCCCTGTCCTCTCCTGCACCTCCCCCCAGGTAGGAGTCAACCCTGATGTGAAGCAGCTGTGCCTGCCCAAAGCTTTTAGCAGCTTGGGCTGCCCCTTATCCAGCAGATCACCTCCATCTGCAGCAAACCAAACATGTTTGGGGAAGCTTTAAATATGAGGTCTTTGTTTTTTTTTCCTTGTCCTGCCACAGCCCTGGGGGAAGAAGTGCGTTAGAGGCTGCAAAACCTCCTGCCTTTGTTCCAGTGGTGCTTCCCTAGTCCTGAGCTCAAGGAACAGCACAGGTCAGTTCCTGCTCTTGTGCTTTTTTCCTTCAGTTCCAGGGAAAACTGGAAGGCACAGAGGGGTCAGAAAGGGGTTCACCAAGTGGTATCTCCATCAAAAAAAAAGTTGGAGCTGCTGTAATTGCCTCTGCCTCCCTTTAGGAACTTCACACAAGACTATAGGGGCCTTCCAGCAGACCACTGCTCCTGTGTTGACTCTGAAATACTTTCCTCCTGGGCTTTCTCTAAGGGGTGGCCCTGTTCCTGTGCTCCTTTCCTCGCCTGTAGAGGAGCAGTACCTTCTGTCCAACCCCCACAGAAGGTATTTATGGGTGGGAGGAAAACCTCACCTGGCATTTGGCCGAAAGATGACTGTGGTGTGCTGGTGCTGCCCTGCAAAAGATAAAGATGCATTAAAAAAATGTGTTTTCAAAGCAAGGTGGTTCTCTGAGCTTGTAATTTGGGAAGGTGCTGGCATAGCTGTGATGTACTGTTTGAGCCTTGGCGTTATCAGTACGGAGAGATTAACTTCAAGATTTCAAGCCTGGGGCCTCTGAGGTATTAGCAGATGTAGGCTAAGAAGAGATTTCAAAGGTCTTGGACAGAGCTGATAACAGTAGAAATACCACGATAACTGGCTTCGTGCTCATACACCGCAACGTCCCTTAATGCAGCCACAATGCTGGGTGGTTACTTTGGTGTCGGCATAAAGCAGGTCCCAAAAAGTTGGTGTGCTGGTCAAAGCAGGCTGGTTTTGTGCTGCCCATGTGCTAACCTGGCTGTGCTGTGCTTCCGTGCCATGGAGCCTCTTCAGCTGGCTCCTGGGGAGCTGCGTGGGGAAGGCAGCTCTCTCTGGCTCCTGTTTGGGTGGCACGGTAATGCTGAGAATAATAATAACAGCAGTTTCTTGGCCCCAAGGTGAGGGAGGATTAGTCCTGAGCGACCCTGGTGCTCTGGGTGGCTCATTCCTTACAGGGCACTGCGGGGAAGGCACCTGCTCCATCCCCGGAGCCGTGCCGAGGTCTGCCTCCAGCCCTCTGGACCCGCAGTGCCCGTGGCAGCGATGGTGCCGTGCTATTTCCAGTTTGCATAGCGCAAACAGGAGGTTCCTGCCATAGCAAGCAACCAAATTTAGAGGTTTCGATTTGAATTAAATTTGCCAGTGCTAAGACTTCCTTTTACTGCCTGGGGAGGCTCGCAGCTGCTCCCTGCTCCGTCATGGAAATGAGCCCCGAGCCCACAGGGCCACAGGAGTGGCAGGAGGTGGCAGGAAGGAGCCCTCCGGCTCGTGGGCAGATGAGCTCTCACCTTGCAGGGTCAAAACCAGGGCTTGCACCTGCCTGAGGCTGAGCCTCTGCTGGCCGCAGCCCTCAGCGAGGCTCCTCGCTGGTAACGCAGCGCCCTGTGGGGCTGAGGCCACCCCATGCAAATCTGGTGTCAGCAGACACCCCTCCTGCTGCGTGCCTGCCGTTTTGGTGATCCCTTCTCCTGCTTCAGGGCTTTTTCCCCACCGCTTTCTCTGCCTGCCCAGTGGCCGCAGCATCCTGAAGGTTCCCCTGTAGAGGGATCTTTGCCTGAAGGTGATGGTTCAGCCCCCTGCACGAGTGTTTAGACCTCAGCCTTGGCAAGAAGCAGTCCAGAGCTGTCACCTGGCAACCCTAATACCGTGTTTGAGGCGTAAGGGAGCAGCAGGGCTGTGCTCTGCCTGCGTTTGGAGGTGCAGGTAGCAGAGCTGGGGTGTGCTGCTGGAGGAATGGGGAGGTCCCTGGGCATCCTCTGTTAGGGAGCATTTCAGATCTGTGGTGCATCTGAGTAAATCCTTGATCCTGCCTGTTCAACAGCCACTGAAACAGGTGTCACAGGCCCTTTTGGGCACACCCCCGTGAAGGCCCTACATTGCCATTGCCTCCTGGCTCCTTATCAGGTGATGAATGGCTCGGCTTAATTTAAGCCCATTAGTCCATTTCCTCCCTGCATTACTTCCTTTCAGCGCTGTGGGACCCGGCTAGCTGGGTCTCCTGCAAGACGTCAGCGTGCCTGTTCAGCATCACTTCAGCCCACAGCACGTCCAGCTGCCGATAAGCCTGGCCCCCTGCTGCATTGCTTCACCCCAGGAGCTCAGGCGTGTTCAGCTACAGGGCTGCCTTGGGGCAGAAAAAAGGGAAAAAAAGGGTAAAAAGGGGTAAAAGGATGCAGGTCAAGCTGTGAGCGTTATGGCTCTGGCCCTGCGATGGGGAGCCCAGGTGCCCTGGGTTAATAAAAGTGCTTTGCTGACCACAAGGCTCTGAGGGCTGCCGTGCCTGTCTGTGCACTGATGGGTGTCCTTGCCTAAGACAAGAATGTGGTTTGTGCCTTTTTATCATAAAAAGAGTGGCAGTTTGGTCAAGTCTCTCTCTTTTGGCTCTCTGCAGACAATATCAGACCCTCCCAGAGCCCAGGGCTCAGTCCTTTTGGCCATGCAGTTGCTGGGAATTCAGATGCCCAAATTGTGCAGTTTTTGTCATGGTACAAACTGTTTTCCTATCATTTAATGTGTGTCACGCCTGGATGTCAGGAAATGCTTCTGCTGCCTCCGCAAACAGCCCATCAGCTGCTCTCTGATGGGCAATGACCTCTCCTCAGAAGCTCGATTCAGCTCTGCAGACCTTCCCTTGCACGGCAAAGATTTACTGATTTCAGAGCAAAGATCATGTTCAGACAAAAGATGCAGCTAAATTACACCGCATCATAAATATACAAAGGGGTGTTCAGTCATCTGCTGTTTGCTTTGATTCTGGTTTATGTTACCTGTCAGATAAAGAGCTGCTCCTACAGTTGTTCTTTTCATGATACGTTCCAGCAAATACGGATGTTTGCCCTGCACAATAATTTTTTGTCTATCACGGGGAATTAGCAATAGGGACAAATTTTGCATTAGATAGACACAGAACTATGTAGCTCTGGAATATGAAGCAAGGGGCAATAAAGCAAGCGGTGTGTGTTTTATAGTCCCTGGGGCTGGCAGTTTGGACACGGTGAGGTGCTAAACAAAAAAGCTGCTGCCTCCAGAAAGGGAGCAAGGGAAGCATGAGAGTCCTCAGCGAGGATCTGGTTGTTCAGTGAATGCCAACAGCATCAGAACTCCAAAAATGTGTTTTCTGCTGCCGGTAATTCAGGTCTCTGCTCCCACCCTTTCCTTGCAGGACCTGGTTTCAGCAGCTTGGCTGCATCTCCTCTTCTGTCAGCGGCCAGCCTGGAGGCCAGGTGCTGCTGCCTGCTAAAGGTGAGAGCTGAAGCACCCAGCGAGTGGCTTGCGGTGCCTCTGGGTGCCCCGTGGTGGCACCTGCAGTACTGTGTCCCTTCTGGGGACAGCATAGCTTGTATGGCTATTCCAGGAAAAAAAAAAAAAAAAAAAAAAAAAAAAAACACCAACAACATAGCGTACTATAATTTCACTTCGGTTTCCTGTTGCCATAGAACCACTTGAAAAAGACATCATCTCTTACAAGCTGATGTTTGGCCTCCTTCCAGCCCATAACATCACTGCGCTTCCCCTGGCGCTTGGGTATGCCAGAGAGGAGCTGGAAGGAGCACAACATTCAGGGAAGATCATCTATTTCTGCGGCACTCGGCTGTTCAAATGTGGCTGGTGAGAAAGCAAGCTGACTTGGGAAGGTGTCATACACAGGATGTGAAGGGAATGGGAAATTCAGTGTTACTGATTTGCTAAATATACACACGCTGCAACTTCAGTGCCTCCAAGGTTCACCGATGTGGAAAAATCAAGGAACCATCTGTGATTTTTTGGGGGGAAAACACTGGTGTTGTAAATGTTTTCACTGTTCCCTCCTGATGTTGGCGGTGCCCTGCAGCTCAGTGCAAATGCTCTTTAAACCAGAGGATTATGTGGACTGACTTCTGGTTTAAAAAATAATAATAATAATAAACAAACAAAGCTGACTTACACTGAAGCAGGAGCCACTGCTCTGCCTGGATCGCTTTTCAGCAAGAAGATCTTTGACTGTGTGTTTCACTCGCACTCCTTGGTACACTCGCTTGCCAAAATCTGTAGTAACTGAGTGAATGAGACAAGTGTTAGAGGAGTTCAGCAAAGGCAGAGAGTAGGCGGAAGAGGTTATTATGGAAGAAGCCAATTCCCTCCCTCTGCACACCAAGTTAGGGAGGAAGCACGTAAGACTTATTATTCATGCAAAATCATCCCTTAGGAACCTCGCAGTGAGGGCTGCTCGTCTGCAGAGAACAAAGACTGACGTGCCCTGCCCTGTAGTTAGCACTGGGTGCCATGCGGTTTCTGTGCAGCTCCATCAGTGCCTGGATGGTTGGTAGATTTGGTTTTTTTTTTTTTTTTTTTTTTTTTCTCTCCAGAGTGCTTGGGTGCTCCTACATCTCCCCTTTGGATCAGCAAAATTTGATTTAGTGGCGCAGCCCTGCGTGCTTCCAGCAGAGATGCTGTGGTTTAGCTCCTCGTTGCCCTTCTGGAGTTGCTGGCTTTCAGCACATCGCTCTGGGGGCAGAGCTGGTTTTGATCTCACTTGCAGCAAAGGCAGAAGTAGCCCAAATGGTGGGTTTGACCTCCCTAAATGGCAATGTGAATCAGATTGTGAAGGTATCATGAAAGGAAAGGAGGGTACGGTCTCAGCCATGCCACCCTGCCTGTTCCCTCAAGCTGCCTGGAATCCAGCAGAACCCATACAGTGAGGTCTGTGACTTGTGGTGCAAAGCGTTTGTCCTCTTCCCTCGCCTGGAAAAAGCTTTGAGGTCTGTCTGCCTTGTGTACAGGTGTTCTGCCACAAGCGAGGGCAGAGAGCTACGGGGTGCAGTTCCAGGGGAGCTCTTTTATCCCTGCCAACGGGCTGCGCCGCACAGAGCTCGCACCTGCGGAGCCAGGGAGGAGTGTCCAGATGGGCTTTTATTGGAGCCTTCCGGAGAAAAACTGAAGTTTGAAGTTAATCCCTTGGAAAACACCAAGCTGTGCTTTCCCGAGGGGACACCAACAGCCATTCCACAGCTGAGGTGTTTGTCTGAAATTGTGGTTTATCGTTTTGCCCGTCTGCTTTTCAGGAAGTGCCGTTTGGCTCCTTTTATCACTTTCAGTCGTGTGGCACAGTGTCCCCAGGTGCACATACACATGGAGAGCTTACAAAGGGAAAAGGGTGGAAGCAACAGAATCGCAATACTGGCTTGGGGTTACCCCAGATGTTTTCTGTTGGGCATAGCAGCTGCAATTCTGGGGCAACTGCAGCTTGGTTTTGGTGTTTGAATACCAACCAGAGAGAGACTTCAGGTATGAGGCAAACACATTACAAGGACGCTGCCCCCAAAAAACTTATGATCAATATAGTCTAAATAGGGGTGAAGACAGTCTGCACGCTGACCAGCCAGCATCTCTGGACAAGCCAGGACCCAGCCAGCAATGGATATAATCTCTTGAGGTTGAAAGAAATTTCTCTGTATAGAGACTGGCTCTTCTCCATGGCCCAGAGAAGTGTTCCTCCCGTAGTCCCTCTGCTGGGCTGTTTTTACTGAGAGCAGTTGGAAGCAGAGGTACCTGTGCTGGCAGCTGGGGTTCCAAATCTCTGGCAGAGCAGGCATAAGTGGCAGAAAGAGCTATGCTTCCTGCATCGGAATCTCTGCGTGAGTTCCTTTAGAGATACAGCGCTGCGATCTGATGGATGAGCCAGAACTGCAGAGCACAGCTCACTGGGCTCCACCGTGGTTTTGCTGCCTCCAGTGACTCAGGCAGCTGTTGCTGGCTGCATCCAGCTGAAGAATCAGGCCTTGATTCAGCACAGAGCTTTGGCAGAGGGACCCCAGCCATGAGTATGCTCATATTTAATTTTCAGAATGGAGATATTTCTAAAATAGCATTGCTAGGAAAAGCCATGACCAGCTTTAACTTCCTTAGTTCATCAGCCTGCTATTGCCAAATCCTACAACATCTTTGTTAGCTGACCCTGCTTCTGTTACCATTTCCAGCCACTGTCTGATGCTCTGCACTTCTGCAGTCCCATTTCCCTAACATCTTTACTACAGTCTAAAGACAGTGGAAAAAACACTTCCGTACATCTTTACACCAGGGTGCTGTGCTGTTGAAGTTTCTTCACTCATACACCCACAGTTACAAGAATTTGAGACAAAGTAAGCAATACAAGGGCTCTGTCCTCAAACCCCCCTTTTAAGGAAGCAGCCCAGCACATGCAAGTGAAATAACTTGGCGTGTTATTCAGCAGGATCGGATGCTGAGCTATTAGAACCCCACATAATCCTGCTCTTGGCAGCATCAAGGAAGAAAATGCTAATTTAGGCCAGAGTTAATGTAATTTTTCAAGTAAATTAGATTGTATTTCACATCACTTTGGCATAACTGCCTTTTGGAAAAAAATATTGAAAATAAAATTGAATTTGGTTTAGAGAGGGCTGAATATTCAAATAAATATTGTTAAATTATTGGAATAGCAAAGGTATCACATGCTGATTTTAGCCAATTCTCCTTTCTGCATTGTTTTAAGTTGAGCCCAAGGATGGCACGGTATATTCTTTCCCCAATAATTCCATCGTGCTGCTGCATCTTTATGGTTTTGGAAAGTTGAGGTGCCGAGACTTACCTGTTTCCATTGCGATCACTGGTGATGAGTCCCAGCTCTCAGATTCTGCAGGAGGTTGGAGAAGGGCTGTCATGAGCTTCCCAGAGCAGAGTGAAGTCAGTGCTCATTCTCCACTGATAAAGTTCCAGCTCAGCCTGATGGAAATATATTTTCTACAATTTAGTGATGTCTCCACAATACCTTGTTTGGGATTTGCTTAAATGCAAATCTCTTGATGCGTGTATCGCTCCGATTTGCATGGTCAGTGTGGATCATTCTCAATGGGTCTCTTTCCTGTCTGAGCTGACAGTTCATGGATGAAAACTGAGCTGAGTTCATCAATGGAAAAATGTTTGGTTCAAGTGAAAGGTTGGTAAGTCTTGCAGTGACTGGGCCGTCCCTTCATGGGTGAAAGAACAAGCTGGAAACAAGCACTGTCAGTAAACGTGAAATGTCCAGTGTGCTGATGAAGATGCACATGAGCCATGCTCAGGAAGTAGGACTGTCTGTCTGGGACCTCACAGGCCAGCCTGGGCATTACACAAGTTCTCTGAGAGCCATTTTCCTGCAACACAGCTAGCACAGCCCAGCAATGCGTTGAGGACAGGCTGCAGTGAGGCAGATGATCTCGGGAGCATTTTGTGCGCAGAGTGGGCTGGTACACAGCATTACTGTGCTCATCTTACATGAGCAGGGCAAAACTGGCGCCATTGGATTCCTCATAATTAAATATTCCTCCTTGTGGAGCCTGCTGCCAGCTTGCGGGTCTGTTAGGTAAGATCTGTCTCTCTTTATAATTCTGTGTGCTCTCCCTTGCATTGGCCCGGAGATGAATTTGGCCTGTCATGTGAACTGACTTCCTGAGGAAGGCTGCTATTGTTATTATTATTACTATTATTATTATTATTACTACTATTATTAAAAGTAATTATTATTTTCCTTTAGAAGACAAGATATAAAAGGCAGCAGCTGGTGAAGGCTGATGTGATCAGGCCATCGAGAAAAGTAGGGAAGGCAGAGCTGAGGTAACATCACAAGTAATTCCCGATGTACAGAATTCCCAACTTATGGAATGATTCGGGTGTTCTGCCTGCTCTGATGCAGTGCTCAGGACCAAGAGGACATCCCACAGCCTCTTGGAAAACCCTAGCTCCTGAGAATGAAGTCTTTGACCGTGTGTATTTGCCCTCTCCATGGATAAGTCTTATTTTGGCCAGACTGTCCCTGGCTGCCCCCACCTGGTATGCGCAGTGCTGACAGGTGTTACAAGGGCAGGAAGCACCAGGCAGGGCAGGGAAGCGTGGGCAGATGTGAGGTCCCAACAGCAGAGTTGTCTTTGCCTCGTCAGCAATAAGCTTAGTTTGCCACCTGCTTCTTGGCAGGCTTTCCCATCCAGTTTTGTCTCCTGTGCCAGATATTTATATACTTTAGTTAGGATTCACAAGTTAAAGCCAAGCCCTGTTCAAGCTAATAGCTTTGTGCTAGTCCAGGTGTACTGATTACAAAACAATTACACTGAAAACAACAACAGGTCCTGCAGACAATAATTAAACAGAGATAAAATAAAAACTCAGCCTTCTTTTAGAGGGAATCTATCCCTTAACTTACATTTTCCTTTGAAAAAGCATCAGATCCAGATTTTCTATATTATTTAGTGGATTTAGGCACGTACTGTGTGTACAATAGGAGTTATGGAAGCAATTGTGTATTGACAAGGCACCTTTTTATGGCACGTTTTATAAAATCCCATTCTGTTTAGCATGGTATTTACCTGTGCCAAAGCAAACCGCTGTAATAATTGTGTCTCTGTTCTGTACTACAAAAACCTGGAGCAGCAGATGCAATACTCAATGCATATTTGTTTATTTCAAACTGTCATTTCAATCTGTCTTTTCATTACTGGGTAAAGAGAATATGTCACATTGTCTCACAGCGGCAACGTAATACCAATGGATAGCATGTTTTTTTTGTGTGTTTTGTGTTTGGCCAGGATGCCCAGATGTGTGTATTTAGGTTGCAAGCGTGTGCACTGAGAGGAATTTTGGTTGTGTTTGTTGACAACGGCAGCAGCATTTGCCCTGGAGGCGTTGAAATGAATCTGTGGCAGCTGCAAAGCCTGTGCCAAGCTTTGTTCTCCGCTGCTGCAAGAGCCACACCAAAAACCCTGATGTGCTGGGTATGGAGCCTGGGGTATGAGTTTATCAAGCCCAGGTGTGAGCTTGGTCCCAGTGCAGTCCTGAAGGGTTGGTGATACTTGTCATCCCTGTGCAGATACTGGAACACAAGTCCTGTGAGGAGCGGCTGAGGGAACTGGGGTTGTTTAGTCTGGGGAAGAGGAGGCTCAGGGGACGCCTTATTGCTCTCTGCAACTGCCTGTAAGGAAGGTGTGGGGAGCTGGGGGTCAGCCTTACAGGTAGCTAGTGATAGGACTAGAGGGAGTGGCCACAAGTTGTGCCAGGCGAGGTTTAGGTTGGGATTTAGGAGACATTTCTCCTCAGGACGAGCAGCCAGGCGTTGGGACAGGTTGCCCAGGGAGGTGGTGGAGTCCCCGTCCCTGGGGGTGTTCAAGGAGAGGTTGGACGTGGTGCTTGGGGACATGGCTCAGTGGTGACATTGGTGGTAGGGGATGGTTGCACCAGGTGATCTCGGAGGTCTCTTCCAACCCTAACAATTCCACTGGGGTCTGAGCTGGGCAATGCCGACCAGCCAGCAAGGTGATGACGGGCAAACGTTGCACAGGGCCATATCCTGCCCTATCGCCATGTTATGAGGGGTTAGAGATGTGTGCAGGAGGGCAGCCGTGTGTAACTTTCTGCCCACAGTGGCCGTGCTGAGGGGCTCCTCGGCCAGCCCTGTGCTGGGGCCGGGGGGTCGCGGCCCTATTGGGGATTGGGTTTTTTTTTGGGGGGTGGGGGACAGATTTATGCCCGGAACCTTCGTGCTCCAGCTCCTCACCCCACCCGCCCCCTTTCCACCGCAGGACGCGCGGGTGCGCGCCCGGCGCTGCGATTGGCCGGCGGCCGAGCGGCGGGCGGCTCCCATTGGCTGGCGGCCGGGGCGCGGTCCGTTGCTTTCCGGCTCCCCCTTTGTGAGGCAGGGCCGGGGCCGGGGCTGAGGCCGCCATGGCGCCCGTGAGGGAGGCGGTGGAGCTGCGCTGCGAGTGGGCCGCCTGCTCCTTCGCCGCCGCCGCCATGGAGGAGTTCTGCGGCCACGTAGCCCAGCACCTGCGGCACCACCTGCCCGGGGAGCGGCGCGACGAGCTGGACCCGCTGGGTGAGGGCCCGCCCGGGGTGCCGTGCCCCAAAATGTCCTGTATTTGGGGGTGTTTGGTACATTTTGGGGTGTTTTTGTGGGTTTTTGTTGCAGAGGAGTACACGTGCCTGTGGCAGGAGTGCGGGTTCTGCTCGCCCGAGAGCCCGGCCGACCTGGTGCGCCACGTCTACTTCCACTGCTACCACACCAAGCTGAAGCAGTGGGGGCTGCGCGCCCTGAGGGCACAGCCCGACGTCAGCCGCTGCCAGCTGGACTTCCAGAGCCGCAACATCATCCCCGAGATCCAGGAGAACTTCCTCTGCCTGTGGGAGTACTGCGAGGTGAGCGCCCCGCGCTGCTCAGCGGTGCCCGAGGCCCAGGGGAGGAGATCTGCTCCTCCCCTGCCTCTATCGGTGGTCGTTGTGCCCCTGTAAGAGCGCCTGCTGGGTGCTGGCTGAGGCCAGAGTGGGCGTCTCACCCTCTTCTGCTTGTCTCTCCTCCCCGTCAGAGGTCGTTTGATAACCCCGAGTGGTTCTATCGGCATGTGGAGGATCACAGCTTCTGCTCGGAGTACAAGGCGGCTGGGAAGGAGAACCACGTGGTGCTCTGCGGCTGGAAAGGTATCAGGGGCGTGTGGGGCTTCTCCGGGGGGCTTGGTGTGGGGCTGGGCTGCAGGGGTTGGACGGGAGGGCTCTGTGTGCCTTCCAGAGTTCCAGAGAGCTCTTGAAATTCGTGTGTATGTAGTCCTGATGATGCTCCTGCCAGGTTTCCACCAGGGGATTTATTAGGGTGTTGAATATCGGACTTTTCACTTCAGGTTCATTACTACCTGCGAGCGAAGGCTCCAAGTTAAATTTTTTAAATAATTTTTCATTTCCATGTCTGGGTGGAGTTGCCTTAAACGCTTGTGGTGCTGGGGGGCCCGCGGCAGTTGTACAGCAGCGCTCTCATCCTGCTCCATCGCCCAAGGATCCTGCTGCTCAGCCAGGCTGGGGACACTTACCCCATTATCCCCGGGTGCAGAGGATCCTCACGGCACTATCTCCTCTCTGTGTGCAGACTGTGACTGCTCTTTCAAGGGGCGCTGCAAGCTGCGGGAGCACCTGCGCAGCCACACGCAGGAGAAGGTGGTGGCGTGCCCCACCTGCGGCGGGATGTTCGCCAACAATACCAAATTCTTCGACCACATCCGCCGCCAGACCGCGCTGGACCGTGAGCAGCCCCCCCGGGCGGGCGGTGGGGTGGTTGGGGCTGCCTGTGGGAGCAAAAGGGTCGGGTGTGGGGTGCTGAAGGGCCTGGGAAGGGTGGTGTGGGAGAAGCAGGGAGGTTAGAGGCTGCACAAAGGGAAGGCAGCTTGGTCCTTGGACGTTTTATTTATTTTCTTGTCCTTTTGGTGTTGTCTCTGCTGTTCCTGGCTGGAGAGGAGGGTTCCCAGCTCCGCTCTAACGACCTCTTTGTCTCATTTGTGCCGTTCTCTGCGCTTTGATCTCGTTTCTCACCGCCCTCTCCGTTTCCTCCCCGGCCCCGGCGCTGCAGAGCAGAGGTTTCAGTGCTCTCACTGCTCCAAGAGGTTCGCCACAGAGCGGCTGCTCCGCGACCACATGAGGAACCACGGTGAGCAGAGGCTCCCTCTCCCAGCCGTGTGCTCTGCCCTGCCCCGTGCTGATGTTTCCTGGCGTTTCCTGACATTCCCTGACGTTTTTCCCCCGCAGTGAACCATTACAAGTGCCCGCTGTGCGACATGACCTGCCCGCTGCCCTCCTCCCTGCGCAATCACATCCGTTTTCGGCACAGCGAGGAGCGGCCCTTCAAGTGCGACTACTGTGACTACAGGTGAGGGCCAGAGCTCGCTTTTCTCCCAGCCTGGTGGCAAAAAGCACCCGGAGCGTGCGCCCTGCAGCCTGCTCCCTTTCTCCTCGTTTCCTTTTAGCTGCAAGAATCTCATCGACTTGAGGAAGCACCTGGACACGCACAGCAAGGAGCCCGCCTACCGCTGCGAGTTCGAGGCCTGCAGCTTCACCGCGCGCTCCCTCTGCTCCATCAAGCTGCACTACCGCAAGGTCCACGAGGTAGGGCCGTGCTCTCCAGGAAAAAAAAAGCAAAAAAACACTAAATTCGTGCTCTGCAGAAGCATGAGACCCAAAAAAAAACAACCCTAAATTCACACTCAGCCCCAAACTGTAGGAGCGTGAGGCTGCGCTTCTTTCTGGCTGCGGTGATGTTTGAAATCAACACCTGACACCCTGATTGCTCCCTCTGTCCTCCCACGGGGTGCCAGCCCCCCTGCTCGGGCTCTGGGGGTGTTTATGTCGTTTATGTCCCTCTCTCTGCCCCCCAGGGTGACTCGGAGCCCCGCTACAAGTGCCACGTCTGCGACAAGTGCTTCACGCGGGGCAACAACCTCACGGTGCACCTCAGGAAGAAACACCAGTTCAAGTGGCCCTCGGGGCATCCCCGCTTCAGGTACTGCACCCCTTTATCACCCCCCTAGCACAGGAGGCAGCAAAGCCACCCCACAGTGCTGCAATCCTCGCAGCAGCGGGGTTTTGGAGCCCCAAATGTGATTCTTCCTTCCTTGGCGTCCCCCCCCCAGGTACAAGGAACACGAGGACGGCTACATGAGGCTGCAGCTGGTGCGCTACGAGAGCGTGGAGCTGACGGAGCAGCTGCTGAAGGCCAGGGGGAAGCAGGGGGAGGCTCTGGACGCCTCCCCCGACTGCGTGGTGCTGCCCGAGGGCGAGGGCAACCTGCAGGGCATCATCCTGGAGGCCCCCACCGAGCCTCCCCCGGCGGAGAACCGCGTCTGTGAGCAGCGGGCGGCCCCGCCACGTGCTGCAGCTTGTTCTGCTGCCAGCCCTGAGGCAGCACGGCCAGGAGCTTTGCCAGGAGCTGCTCTGACCTCGAGGCAGGAGCCCAGCACCCCAGGGAGCCCCATGGGGAACGGCAGCGACGAGCAGGGGGAGGGCGAGGCCGGGTATTACGGCCGGGAGCGGGCGGTGGCGCCCGGCGGGCTGCCCGTGGAGCTGGAGGAGAACGTCATGGACCGGCTGCAGAAGACGGCCGAGGAGCTGGGCATCCAGATCGTGTGAGCTCTGAGCCTCCCCCTGCGGCTCGGAGTCCTTTGTCTCCCTCCTGGAGGGATTTTGGGGGGAGTTGGGAAGTGTCTGGGGGAGAAAGTCGGCGGTGTTTTCTCCCACGTGCAGCTGGCTGGCTTCCTGCCCGCCTGGGTGGCGTGGCGGAGGAGAGGGACTGCTCTCTGCTGGCTGTGGGTCACAAAACTCAGCTGGAACGAGCTGTCCCTTTATTTTGGGGGCTTGGGGACCTCCCCCAGGCTCCCTCACCGGTGCCGTGGGCCCGTGCTGAGCCCAGTCCTCAGCTGGGTTGTGCCCAAACAGGTGCTGTGCAGCAGAATCTCACCCGGGGAGGCGTCAGGCCCTCTGCAGAGCTGTTCTCCCCCTGCCTCGTGCTCCACACCTGCCCTCATCCCTTCCCTGCACCTCATCCTGAGCCCGTCAAAGCGGTCTTGAGGGCAGGAGAGGGCTGCAGCTGCTCTCCCTCAGCGCCCTCTGCAGCCCTGGGGGCTTGGAGCCTTCTTCACGCTTTCATTTTCCCCTGGGTTCCCTCCCCACGTTGGGGTTTGGGCTCCTGCCGGGGCGGTGGACTTGGGAGAGACGAATAAAAGCGTGCCAGGGCCACCCGTGTCCGGTGCCTGCTTCAGAAGAGACCGAGCTGCTGGGGGGCTGCAGCTCCACGGCCGAGCTGCTGGGGTCTTTTGGCAGCTTTTTTGTGCTGCTGCTTGGTGCAGCTGCCCCCTGCCTCGAGACCTGTGGCACGGGGAGGCCGCATTCAGCTCGGGCTCTTTTTCTCGCCACTTCCTGCTGCGGGTTTGATTTTTTTTGCTGCCTCCTTCAGGGCGTGCCTGTCAGCTGCCTGCAAGGTCAGCGTTTGCATCTCCGGAGCAGCCTGGGCCTGGGAGCAGAGCCTCTGGGCGAGCAGTTTGGGCGAGGACAGGGCGAAACTGGGCTCGCTGGTGGGGCTGACCCCGGCTTTCCCCTTTTTCTTTCTCCAGCGGTCGAGCACAGGCTGCTGGAAGCCCGGGTTGATGGAGGGAATGAGGCCAAACCCCGGCCATCTGCTCCTTTTCTAATCCCAAACTCTGAGGGGTTGATCCCGGGCCGTGCCCTTGTGCTGGGGCGATGCCAGCAGCCCCCACACACGGGGGCTGGATGAGAAATGGGGGTGAAACAGGGAGAGCCGAGTGTCCCGGGCTGTGGGGGAAGGTTTCCTGGGTTGTCCCTTTAAACCCCATGCCCGGGGAGGGTAATCTGGCAGGGATTAGCCCATGGGGAGCCACCAGCTAATCCCTGCCAGCCCAGGGAGCTCTCCCTGCCCTGTGGATGGAAACCCAGCTCAATTTCCCCCCTGGGCTGTGCTGGGGGGCGAGGGGAGGAGGGCAGCGAGTGCTATGGGGCTGGGGCTCCTCTTCCTCGCCCTGCTGGCCACGCTGGGCTCCGGCGAGTACCCAGGAGGTAACAACGGGGAGGTTGGGACGAGGGGGATCCCAAAAAATGCTGAAATTTTGACACTGGGGAAGGGAGAGCGAGCTGCAAGGAGAATTGGGGGCTCACAGGGGGGCTGAGAGGAGCCTTTGGGCTCACACCTCCCACCCGCAGCTCCCTGTGGGCTGTGGGGCTGGCGGGCAGGGTGCTCCTCAGCCCCCGTAACGCCGCTGCGCCCCTCTCCCCAGCAGCCCAGGACACCTACTGGGCCGGCACAGCGCCCATCTGCCTGGGGGGCTGCAAGGGGAAGCACAAGGAGCTGAAGAGGAGCCAGTGCGGGGCCGGCAGCTGCTGCTGGCTGGGCTACAAATCCTTCTGCCGAGGTAGAGTGGCACAGTTTGGGGCCATGCGTTTTGGGGCTGAGATTTTGGGGCCTGGATCCCATTCGTGGGGATTTTCCTCGTCCCCAGTGAACTGCGGGCAGGCCCGAGGCTGACTTCAACTCCCTGGTGCACGGCAACGACTGGTGGGTGGGCTCGGTGGTGCGCTACAGCTGCCGGCCCGGCTACCTGCTGCTGGGGGACCCGGCCAGCGCCTGCCAGCCCGACGGCCGCTGGACCCCAAAGCCCACCTGCCTCCGTGAGTACCCCATGGGGTGGCAGCGGAGCCGTGCTCACCCCAAACCCGCCACGGGGCTGGAAAAAGATTTGGGGAGCACCCAAGGGACGTGCTGCGGTGCTGCTTGCTCTCAGGGATCTGCCTGCGAGGCCGGATCGAGCTCAGCGAGCGGGAGGTGTCCGGGGGGTGCTCCTCAGTCCTGCGGCACCCTGAGCCACCTGGGGTCCCCCTCCCCGGCTCGGGGCTGCGTCAAGATCTCCGCCTGCGTCCCCAAACGCCCGGGCTGGGCGCGTTGGTTCCTGCGCTGTGACCGCTGCGAGTGCGACTGCTACGTCCCCTGCGGGGGCTCCCAGTAGCAGCTTCCCACCCCCAGTAAGGGCCCGGTGCTGGTTTTGGGGAGGGGGTGGTTTTCTCTGATTTGACTCCAGGTAGGGCCGAGGTTTCTGCACCCGCTGGTGCTGTTCCTTCGGCCACGCGTCCCCATCGCTGGGCTCTCTCCGAGCACCCCAAGGCCTCACCTGGGAGGAGAGGTTTGGGGTTTGTGGCCGTCTGTCCTCCTTTAATCCCCCGGGGAAGAAGTGGGGACGTGCGAGGGGATCACCGGGAGTGCATTTTTAATTTAATTTAATTACCAGGGGTAATTAAAAACCCTTTGCAGCCCGTTTGGAGCTGGCTCCAGGACTGGAGACCCCCCGGTCTCTCCGCTCGCTGCCCCAGCTGCGGGAGGGGAAGGCTTTCCTCAGCTCATCCCATTTTATTTATTGATTTTTAATTAACACCCTCGTTAGTGCCACCCATTCCCATACATCTCTCAACATTTCGGTGCCAGGTGAGGCTCTGGGGATGTGGGGAGCTGGGACAAAGCCCTGATTTGGGGTGGGGGGGGGACACACAATTTGGGGCCAGCCCTTGGTGGATGCTGTCAGCTTCCTAATTAGCGCTCTGCCTCGCTTTTGGGGCTCTGGGCGTGGATTTGGGGGTGATGGGGAAGCTGGGGGGGGGGTGACCCAGGGGTGCAAGGTGGAGGGGTGGCAAACTGGGGGCTGGGCGAGCTGGGGGGAGGCTGCTGGGGCTTTTGGGGCGTGCGGGAAGAGAGGGACGAAGGAAGGAAGCGGGGCCGGTGCCTTTGGTGCCTTTAAGAGGGTTTTTTGTCGCCACCCCCCCCCCAGCGGCGGGGGGCTCAGCCGGGCCGGGGGCTGCGGCACGGCCACGGGAGACACGGACACAGGTGACACGGCCACGGGTGGCGCTGCCCCGACCCCCCCCGGCTCCCCCAGACCCCCCCAAAAAGCCGCCTCCTTCCTCCTTTCCCCCCTCCCCTCCCTCCCTCCTTGCCATCCGTGCGCATCGCAGCCCCGCGGAGGGCTGGGGCTGGGGATGGGGAGGGGACCGCGGCTGCTGGGGACCCGCAGGGACAAAGCTCAGCCCGGAGCCGGGTGCTGAGCACCGGGCACCCCCCCGGCAGCCCCCCCCCGGGCTCCGGGCAGCGCCCCTTTGTCCGCAGGGGAGGGAGAGAGGAGAGAGGAGAAAGGCGGCGGCGCTGCGGCAGCGGGGAGCGGCGGAGCCCCGGGAGCTGCGCTGGGAACGGAGCCCGCAGCCCGGCAGGTGAGAGCCCCGGGGGGGTCTTGGGGGGGTCCCCAAAAAGCTCAGGGCTAGCGGGGAGGGAAGGGGCCGGGAGGGAGGAGGAAGGTCCTCGGCCGAGCTGCCGCCCCCAGCCCCCGCTTCGTGCGTGCGCCCAGCTCCGGAGAGGGGATTGTGGGGTGATTTGGGGGGGTTTGGGAGCGCTGCTGGTTACGAGAGGAGGAGGCAAGGTGAGCTCCGTGCCCCCCCGCATCCATCAGACCCCCGGCACTGACCCCCTTAAGCAAGGGGGGAGCAAAGCTTGAGGCTGCAGGGGGCGGGCGGGGGGGGGGATCCTGCAGCCCTGGCACCCACCTTTTCTCCCCTAGGGCTGGGGGTGGTGATTTTGGGTTTTGTTTGTGTTTTTTTTTGTGTGTTTTTCTTTTTTTTTTTTTTTTTCCCCCCCCTCCCCACCCTCAGCCCTGCAAGGGATGCGCCTGCAGCGGGGAGATCTCGGCGCAGCTCCTCGCGAGGCCGTCCTCGCCTTTCAGGGGCTGCGTGTGTGCACTGCAGCTGCGGCCGGGAGCCGCCTGCAGCCTGCGGCTCGGCACCGTGTAGGTTGGCAAAACCTCGGGGGGGGGCAGCCCTACAGCTGGGGGGGTCCCTTTAGGACGGGGGGATGCCCCGATCCCGGCCCGTGATGCTGCAGGGGGACGGGAGCCGAGCGGGGATGGAGCGGGTGACAGCGTGGTGACACCAGTTTGGTGCTGGGCTCCTGACTGGGGCTGTGCTGGTGAAGGATGGGGGCGTGAAATGGGTCCCTGGTCCCAAAAAAAAAAAGGGGCCCCCGGTGAGCTCTGCGTCTCCCCCAGCGCGCCACCATGGCGGAGAAGGGCATGGATCCCGCCTGCGTCTCCATCGCCCTGGAGGACACGGTGTGCCACGGCAGCCCCCCGGACGCCCCGCTGCTCACCACCCACCTGAAGAAGGTGGAGAACCACATCACGGAGGCGCAGCGCTTCTCCCACCTCCCGAAACGCTCGGCCGTCAACATCGAGTTCATCGACCTGTCCTACTCCGTGCGCGAGGGCTCCTGGTGGAGGAAGAGAGGTAGGGGGCCGCGGCCGGGCAGGGGTCCTGGGGCTGTCACAGCTCTGTCCCGCTCCCTGACCTCTCCCAGGTCCCCGGTGTCATCGTCTGTGCTGGATCCGTCCTTTTTTTTTTGCCCAAAAGGAGGGCCAGGAGCTTGGCGTGGTGCTCAGCTGCCTGCCCCAAAACCAGGTCCTGTTCTGGGGGCTGTGTGGGGTACACATGGCACTTTCCTGGCACGGGGGCAGCCAGGATGGCTGAGTTTCCTCAGCACGGTGTTTTGGGGTGTGGTGGCTGCTGTGCCAACTGCAGGAGACCCCAAAAGGTGCCCCAGCGTGGTGAGGGGGTGCGTGGTGTGTGTGGGGTCCTTTCCAGAAGCCCCCCAGTGCAGCCAGGGCCGTGCTCCCTGTCCCCGTGTGCCACTCCGGCCCGGAGCTCAGGGAGGAAAAAGGGGAGGCAGCTGGCAGCTGGTGGGTGGTAGTCTGCTTTAATTAGCTCTCTGTTAATGGGATGCCAATCAGGCAGCCCCGTGGGACAGGGGGGGAGCTGATCTGGGGAAGGTGAAGGGTGGCAGGGCTGGGGGTGCGCACAGCAAGGCTTGCGGGGTCCCTGCTCAGCCCCGAGGGTTTGCAGGTGGGGAAACTGAGGCAGGGCCCGGCAGCGGGACCAGCCCCAGGGCGAGCTCAGCCTCGGGATGCGGGGGAATCACGAGGTGGGGGCCAAACCCAGGAGCTGGGGGTGCCCGGGGCAGAGCAGGGCACAGCACCCAGGGGTTTTGGGGTGCGCACCGGCGGCGAGGAGCGCGCCGAGGGCTCCTGGGGTGCTGGGGGAGGCAGGAGGAGGATGCTGTCCTCCCCCCGGAGCGGGCAGGGCGGCGCGGTGGTGCTGGCGGCCAGGATTTGGCCCTGGGTGCTGAAGCAGGAGGTTACTGGCAGTCAATGAACGCGAGTAACCGCTGCGCAAGCTGCAGTGGCGCCGACGTGAGCAGCATGCGCGCCGCGCGCTCGCCCCGCTGCCGGCACCCACAGGCGCCCTGCCCGCCCCCCCTCCCTCCCCGTGCCTCTCCCCTCGGGGTGCCCGGACCCCAGGGGTGCGTTTGGGGGCTCGGAGGGGGGCTGGAGGTGCCGGATTTCTGCTCCAGGAGAGGGGCTGCCCCGTTATTGTGGGGTGCGCAGGGCTGGCCCCAAGGCTTGTCCCCATCTTGCAGGGTGGGGATGGATGTGGTGGCATCACCCCAAGGCAGCTGCAGCCACGGGGTGTGGGGTGGGCATTTTGGGAAGAGGTGCCCAGACCTCATCCTGTGGTTCCTCGTAGCCCCAGCACCCCGCAAACCACAGCTCCCCTGCCGGGGCTGCATTTAGGGGCGCTTCCCAGGCAGCATGGGGCTGTGCTCGTTCCCTGCTCCCCCCCAACACTGTCGTCGCCGCGTTCCTGCTGCCACAAAATGCTAACGAGCCGCCTTAAAGCAGAGATAATTCCAGGTCTGATTAGCGGTGGCTGCTGCCGGGAGCCACGGCGTGAATGCCAATGAAGGCGGCAGCCGGCAGGCCTGGGGGCTCTGCCTGCCCCTCCGCCGGGGTGGCACAACGTGGCACCGTGTCACAGCCCCGTGGCCATCCTCAGCAGGCTCCCTCCTGTTTTTTTTCCTGCTCTGTGGGATCATCTAGGGCACGGCTCTCTCTAGGACCAGCCAAAAACTGGGGGCAGAGAGCACCCTGGAAGTGCCGCCGGCTGTGGCACACGTGGAGGTCTTTGGGGTCCCCCCGGTGCCGGGATGCTGTCGCAGCCCCCTTGCACTGATCCCAAACTCCGGACCCACTCTGCTCTCCCCCCCCAGGGTACAAAACTCTCCTCAAATGCCTGTCGGGGAAGTTCTGCCAGCGGGAGCTCATCGGGATCATGGGGCCCTCGGGTGCCGGCAAGTCCACGCTGATGAACATCCTGGCTGGCTACCGGTGAGGCTGGGGGGGCGCTTGGGGAGGCTTTGGGGGGGGGTCTGAGCTGCATCCACCCCCCCGGGCTCCTCCATCCCGCAGGGAAACGGGCATGAAGGGGCAGATCCTGGTGAACGGCCGCCCGCGGGACCTGCGCACCTTCCGCAAGATGTCGTGCTACATCATGCAGGACGACATGCTGCTGCCGCACCTCACCGTGCTCGAGGCCATGATGGTGAGCTCCTGGGGGGGGCCTGCGGGGCCTCCACGCTGCTGCTGGCTCCTTCTGATGAGGGTGGTGGGGTGTGGGGGGCTACTCCTGCTCGCCTTTGCTTCCTCGCCGTGAGCCTGTGACCCCTCCCCCGACACGGATCGGGGATGCCCCCGGGGCTGAGGGGATCTCGCCCTGCCCGTCCTCCCCCCGCAGGTCTCCGCTAACCTGAAGCTGAGCGAGAAGCAGGAGGTGAAGAAGGAGCTGGTGAGTGCCGAGGGAGGTGGGTTTGGGGTTTATCTCGCCCCAGAATGGGGGCTGAGGGACCCCCAGGTGGTGGGGACGGGGCGAGGGTCCTGGTCCCCGGGGTATGGCGGTGATGGAGGCTGTGCCCCCAGGTCAACGAGATCCTGACGGCGCTGGGGCTGCTGGAGTGCTCCTACACCCGCACCAGCTCGCTCTCGGGGGGGCAGCGCAAGCGCCTGGCCATCGCCCTGGAGCTGGTGAACAACCCCCCGGTGATGTTCTTCGACGAGCCCACCAGGTGGGACCCCCAGGGGGGCAGGCTGGGACCCCCAGGGGGGCTGCAACAGGGTGCCCTCCTCTGTGGGCCTGAAAGAAGAGGGTGCCTGCAGTTGGAGGGTGTTTTTGGGGTGACCTTTTTCCCCTCTCACCTCTCCCCTTCTCTCTTTGCTCTTTCTTTTTCTCCTCTTCCTCCCCCTCCGTGGCCGCAGCGGCTTGGACAGCGCCTCCTGCTTCCAGGTGGTGTCCCTGATGCGCTCCCTGGCGCAGGGCGGCCGCACCATCATCTGCACCATCCACCAGCCCAGCGCCAAGCTCTTCGAGATGTTCGACAAGGTTTGGGACGGGGCACGGGGCCCCTCGGGCAGGGAGGGAAGGCCTGGGAGGGGTGGGGGGGGCTGGCAGAGGTGTCCCATGGGTGGGGAGGAGCAGGAGAGGGGTCCCCGCTGTGCTCCGTGCTTGCCAGATTTGCTTCCTTTTTTTTTTTTTCCCCAGCTGTACATCCTGAGCCAGGGCCAGTGCATCTTCAAAGGCGTCGTGACCAACCTCATCCCCTACCTGAAGGGCCTCGGCCTCCACTGCCCCACCTACCACAACCCCGCCTGACTTCAGTGAGTGCCCCCCCGCCCGGTTTTGGGCCGTGTTTTTGGGGTGGCGAGGCCCCAAACCCCAAAGGGACTGGGGGCTCCCACCTCCTGGTGGACTGCCGAGGGCTGGCTCAGCACCGCTCAGGGCTCCTGTCCTCCTCTCTGCAGTCATCGAGGTGGCCTCGGGAGAGTACGGGGACCTCAACCCGGTCCTGTTCCGCGCCGTGCAGAACGGGATGTGCACCATGGCCGAGAAGAAGGGCAGCCCCGAAAAGGCCGACTCGTGCCCGGCGCACTGCGTGGCGGTGAGCGGGGAGCTGAGCGGGCTCCTGGAGCCACGGGGGGCACAGATCCTGGGGTGCCCGGCTGGGGACACCCCCATCCTGCCTGCCCCATGCTGCGGGTGCTCAGCGGGGGCACCCCAGGAGTTTTGGGTACCCCCGTTGGGAGATGCTCCCTCATCCCTGAGCCGTGTTTCTGGCTTTTCTGTGCTCTCGCAGGACGTGGACCACATCGAGAGCCACACGTTCGCCACCAGCACCTCCACCCAGTTCTGCATCCTCTTCAAGAGAACCTTCGTCTGCATCCTGCGGGACACGGTGAGGGGCACGGAGCCCACCAGGGGCTCTCCCTGGAGCAAGGGGCAGGCTGTGCTCTGCCACCCCGGGGCACTGCCTCGCTCAGCCCCCTGGCCCCCCGTTCCTACAGGTGCTGACCCACCTGCGGTTCATGTCCCACATCTGCATCGGGGTGCTGATCGGGCTGCTCTACCTGCACATCGGCAACGACGCGGGCAAAGTCTTCAACAACACCGGCTTCCTCTTCTTCTCCATGCTCTTCCTCATGTTCGCCGCGCTCATGCCCACCATCCTCACCTGTAAGGAGCTCCCGGCCCCGGGGCTGGGGGTGCTGGGTGGGGGGGGCTGAGCTGGATGAAAGGGGGAAAAAATCTTAAGAAAAAGGGAAAACGTCTGTGGGGATGTCCCGGAGCGGATTGCAGTGCTGTGTTTGGTTGCTGCCTGGCCCAGAGCAGACTCGTGGAGTTTTTTTTCCTGCTGAGAGGAGCTCTGTGGAGCTGTGCTCCCCGCTGCTGCCTCTCCCTCTCGCTTCCTCAAAAAGCTCTGCCTGAAACCCCCCGGCCCTGCTGACTTCTCCACGCACCAAATTCCCCTTTCAGCCTCTTTTTATCCCCCCTGGTGAAGCCGTTCGGGTTCCTGCCCGCATGCAGACAGCTGCTGGAGGGGGGGGGGGATTTATCCCCATGGGGGTGGGCAGAGGGGCTGCAGCAGCCCGGGCTGGGGCTCTGCCCACCCCTTCCCACCCCGCAGTTCCCCAGGAGATGTCGGTGTTCCTGCGCGAGCACCTCAACTACTGGTACAGCCTGAAAGCCTACTACCTGGCCAAGACCATGGCCGATGTGCCCTTCCAGGTGAGCCCCAAACCACGACCCCAAACCCCCCCTGCGTCCCCAGAAAAGGGTCCCGCAGGGCTCCAGCAGGGCTCTGTCCCCTCTGCAGGTGATCTGCCCCATCGCCTACTGCAGCATCGTGTACTGGATGACGGGGCAGCCCCCCGAAGCCACGCGCTTCCTCCTCTTCTCCGCCCTGGCCACCGCCACGGCCCTGGTGGCTCAGTCCCTCGGGCTTCTCATCGGAGCCGCCTCCACCTCGCTGCAGGTCAGGAGGGGGCTCGGAGGTACCCGGGGTGGAAGGGGAGGTCGCAGGAGGGGGTCCTGTGAGCAAATTTGGGGACCCGCGTTTGGGCGGCTGTGCTCCCCAGGTGGCCACCTTTGTGGGTCCCGTCACCGCCATCCCCGTCCTGCTCTTCTCGGGCTTCTTCGTCAGCTTCAAGACCATCCCCACCTACCTGCAGTGGAGCTCCTACGTCTCCTACGTCAGGTGGGGATGCCCCCCGTGGGGCTGGGGAGGGACTGGGGGGCGCACACGGGGTGACAACACGGGGTGCTCTGCCCCAGGTACGGCTTCGAGGGCGTCATCCTCACCATCTACGCCATGGAGCGCGAGGACCTGGAGTGCCTGGAGGACTTCTGCCCTTTCCAAAAGCCCATCAAGATCCTGCAGGAGCTGGACGTGGAGGAGGCCAAGCTCTACCTGGACTTCCTCATCCTGGGCATCTTCTTCGTCATCCTGCGGCTCCTGGCGTACCTGGTGCTCAGGTACAAGGTCAAGTCGGAGAGATAAAGGGGCCGCGGGGCCCCGCTGCCGCTCCCAGGCCTGGCCTGGGGACAGACACAGCCGGACCCGGCGCCCCGGGGCCGTTTCGGTGGGTGCCAGCCAGGCCTGGCTCAGTCGAGAAGGGTTTTGAGACATCTCGGAACTGTTTTAACCTTCCCACGCACTCCTCATCGCCAACGTTTTGTACAGCCCTGGCGCCTGCCGCCCTCATTTCCCCGGGGACTGCCGGACCCCACGGAGCTTGGGGCCCCTCCGGCCACCCTGCTCCTCTCCGAGGGGCACCGGGGACGATCCCAAAGGGCCAAGGGGGCTGCTCCGTGCCAGGAGGGGACACCCGCGGAGCCACCACGAGCCCCCGGAGCACCAGGCTGGCAGCATCAGCATGGAGAGGAGCCCAAAGACTCAGCAGTTGCACAAGGCTTTCGTGTTTCCTGCCGCCCTAGCCGCAGAGATTGCTGCATCCCCTTTGCCTTTTGGCCTAGATCTCCCCTCTTTTTATTTTTTTCCTCTTTTTTTAATTTTTATTTTAGCCCTCCCTGCTGCCAGCCTGCATGGAGAGGAAGGGGAGGCAGCGGGCAGAGGACGCGGGGCTCTTGTTCTGCTACAAACCCGGGGACCTGGCAGGGTCTGTGGGATGGGGACGGTGCTCTCAGCCCTTTGGCAGCCTCCTCTTTGGTCCCGGTTGTCTTTGGGATCCGAGCCAAGAGGATAAAAGCAGCGGGACCCTGCTGGGGTAGGAGCGCACAGAAACAGGTCCCAGGAGCACTGGGGCTGGGGAGCAGGTGAGGTCTCGGCGCAGTTTGTGTGCAGCAGGTGAGCCTGGCGCTGGGAAAGGGCTTTGCACTTGGGCACTGGTGTCCGGATGAGGTCCCTTTTTGGGTAAAGCCCCTTTTGGATAAGGTCCCTTTTGGCAAGGGTCCCTGGCGGCTCCCCCAGAGGCACCCCTGGAGGAGGGAAGGCGTTTGGGCACCTCGCTGGCTCTCTGAAGGACACGGGGCTGTGCTGATCCCACCGGGAACCCGCTGCTGGAGCACGGACACGGGAGGGCACAGCTCGACCCCAGGCACCCCACAAGCAGCAGGGGCCAGGCTGCAGCAATATCCTCGGGACTCTCCTTCGCTTCTCTTGGCTCGTCTTGGGACTGCTCCGCAGCGGGTGTGTGGATGGCAGATGCAGGGCTGGGTTTCCCCTGCCTGGACAGCACGGACACGAGGAGCTCGGAGCCACGAGGGGCTGGGAGCAGGACGCGCCCCCCGTGCTGAGCATTTGGGTTTTCCCCAGGGGCTCTCGGCTGACTTCTCGCTGTCCCTTTGTGAAATTCCCTCCGGTTCCTGCGTCCTCCTCCCCTGCTGACCCCGTGCCGTGCCCTGCGGGGAAGCCACAGGGGGTGGCGGAGCTGCAGGGCTGTCACCCATCTCCATCTCACTGTCTTGGGGCGTTTTTGGGACTGCTGCCCCCCTCCTGCCCTGCTCTTGGGGCTTGTTCAGCCTTGCCCCACACGGGCTGGGTGCTGCTGGGCTGAGGTTTTTCCCCTGGGTGTGGATCCCGAGGCAGCCGGAGGTGCTGATGGAGCAGCTTCACGCGGGCCCTGCCTCCTGCTGCTCCAAACACGGGGACCAGAGGGGTGAGGACCGGGGCTGGGGTGAGCTCTGGAGGGGGAGAACGGCTCCGTTGGGGGCTTTGGGGTGTGGGGATGGGGGTCTTGAGGGGGTTCTGGGCTTGTCCTGAGCGCTGTGGCAGCAGCAAGGATGCACTTTATTATCAGAGCAGGGGCAGGGCCGCGGGGACGCTTCTGGCTGCGGGCATCCCCGCGGGCACCGCGGCCAGATAATCGCGAGGAGGGCGATGGAGAAGAGCAGGCTTCTTCCCCTACACCCCCTCTCCCCTCCTGCGCCCCCCCCTGCCCCTGCCATGCACTTTGAAGGGACGAGGCCACGGCTCAGGCTGTGGCTCTGGCTCCTGGGGAGCGCTGGTTGCACTCCAACCCCTCACACCCTGCTTCAGCTCCTTCCCCTGGCTCCCTCGGCCCCAAGGCAGGGGCCCCTCACCTCCACACAGGAGCAGCTTTAACCCCTGCTCCCAGGGTCCATTTGCCAAAAAAATCGTGGAGATACCAGCCCCGAGGCCAAGGGAGGTGGGTGCAGGGGGGCGTTCGCCTCCAGTCCTGCTCCCTCGTTTTGGGGAGGCTGCGCAGCAGGGCTGGGGCACTGCTGACCCTACAAAAGGACCTGGCCGGACCCAGGCAGGGTGGGAGCGAGCCCCTGGGATCTGGGGGGGACTGGGGGAGACTGGAAGGGACTGGGGGGGCTGCCACAGGGGGGTGCCCCGTGGGGACAGCGTGCCCGGGTCCTGGCGGTGCTCAGTGGTGTCCGGAGAGCCCTGGGGCAGGCGGAGGCGTCGCGGCGTGTGTCAGGGTTTGGGGGGTGCCAGCTGTGCTCGTGGGGTTTCACACATCAATAAAACCTATATTTATAGTGTATTTATGGGGTGTGTGTAGTGTATTTATGGGGTATTTATGGGGCTGCCTCCCCTCTCTGGGGACTGAGGGGAGAGGCGCACGGGGACGGGTGTCCCATGGGTGCTGGGGGGGGGGGGCACCCCAACCCCCGTGGGCTTTCAGGAGGGACATTTGGGATGCGAGTGCAAGCACGAGGAGGGATGTGGGGGGGTGCAGGCTGGGAATTTCTGGGTGTTTCCTGGGCTTCCCCAGCACTTTTTGGGGTGCCGGAGCAGCTCCACACCCTGCGCGCTGCGTGCCCGTACAGGCGCGCATTGCACAACCCTGCACCAGCCCGTCCGGCAGCCGCCCCCGGACCCCCAAAACACCCTCGGGACCCCCCCCAATTCCCTCCAGTCCCCCCCAATCCCCTCCAAACCCCCCCCGGTGCCCTCATTGAGCCCCGTCCCCGCCGCATCCCCGGCTCCGGGCGGGGGCGCGCTCCCCACGGCGCTGCTCCCGGGGGCCGGGCGAGGCCGGGGGCGGTCCGGGGGGGGGAACCGGGGCGGGACGGGGCGGGACGGGGGGGGGCCAAGCCTCAGGAAGTCCCCGGTGCCCTCCGCTGAGCCCTTCCCGAGCCGGGGCTGCCGTCGGGGGGATCCCGGGGGGGCCCCCGCGGGAGGTGACAGCGGCTGCGGGGGCTTTGGGAACGCGGGGAGGGGGCTCCGGGGGGGTTCCTCGGGGTTGGGTTTGGGATTTGGGGTTGATTTGGGGTTGGGGGGGGCTGCTGAGCCTCTTGTCCGCGGCTGGGGACGGGCAGCGGGAGAGGGGCTTTTTGGGGTCTTAATGGGAAAGCGCTGAAAAGCCCAGCGGGGGGGGTTGGGGAGGGGGGTCTGGCAGGAGGAACCCCCCCATTTTCCCCTTTTTTGCAATATTTTGGCCCTCCCCTCTGGGTTTTGCCACGCTGTCAGGGCTGAGCCCAGGCTCTAGGGCCAGGAGGTGGCAGGAGCAGCGGTGGGGAAAGGGTCTGGGGGGGGGGGCTGCCCTGCCTGGCCCCCATCTCACCTCGCTGCCTGACCCTTCTCTTCCCACAGGGGATGTCCCGGGCCGTGCAGGGCCGGGGCTGCCTGCCCTGGGCCTGTTTGGGGCCGTACCTTCGAGCTGCTTCGCTGCCAGGTGAGCCCACACCACACCTACGGGGCCCAGACCCCAAATCCACCCCCGTCCTGGGGTCACCTCGTCCCCCCTGGGCACCCACCCCAGCCACCCATGGGGCACCCTATGGGGTGCCGAGGTGGTGCCGGGGGTGCTGCGAGCCCTGTGGGGCTGGGGGAGGCTGTGTGGGACCCCAAAGCACGTTGTGACCCCATTAGGTGCTGCTGGTGGCTCCTTCCACGGGAAGATCCTCAGCGGGGCCAGCGTCTCCCTGCCCAGGTACAGCAGCACCCCATAACCCCTTCCCAATCCTGCCCATCCTCTCTGCCTCTCCCCAACCCCATGGGGTCCCCGGGTCTCTCCTCGTCACCCCGCTGCCCCCCGGGGCTGCCGGTTCCTGCCCTCCTCCCAATGCTCTCCTCCTCTCCCAGGAGCTGTGTTCGCCACCAAGGAGGCCCCCAGGGCCCCCCAGCCCAGCGCGGCTCCTCCCGGCACGGCTTGGACCACCTGAGGACCGTGGCCTCTTCTGGTGAGCGTGGAGGGGGACGGGGGGGGCTGTGGTCCCCGCTGGCGAGTGGTGAGGAGCCCTCCTCTTGCCAACGCCTTTCTCCCCCCCAGATGCCATCAAGAAGCACCAGAAGAGCCTGGCGGCGTGGTTCAGCAACCAGCCCAGCGAGGAGAGGCAGTTCGGCCCTTCCTTCTCACTGGACGCGGTCCACGTGGACCCGGTGATCCGGGAGAGCTCCCTGGAGCAGATCCTGAAGCCTTCCCCCGAGCTGACCATCCGGCACCAGCTCCAGCGCTCTTCCAGGCGGGTCATCAGCCTCCAAAACCTCTTCGAGGCGGACGCCTGCGGGCGGCAGGTGAAGAACGTGGTGCTCTACGGCACCGTGGGCACGGGGAAGAGCACCCTCATCAAGAAGATGGTGGTGGACTGGTGCCACGGGCTCCTGCCCCGCTTCGAGCTGGTCATCCCCTTCTCCTGCGAGGACCTGTCCCACAGCCGCGTCCCCATCTCCCTGCGGCGCCTCGTCACCAAGAAGTACCAGCACCTCCGGGACGTGGCTCCCCTTCTGGGCGCCTCCAACCTCAAGGTTTTGTTCATCCTCAACGGCCTGGAGCGCCTCAACCTGGATTTTCGGCTGGCTGGCACCGAGCTGTGCTGCGACCCCAGCGAGCCCATCGCTCCCTCTGCCATCGTGGTCAACCTGCTGCGAAAATACCTCCTGCCAGAGGTCAGTGGCCCCCCTTCCAGCTCCCCCGTGCTGCAGGGAGAGCCCGGGGATGCTTCAGGCTTGGCTTTTGTGCAAATCGCTCCTTGTCCAGCTTGGCCGCGAGTCAATGGGCAGGCTCCGTCCCTGCAGGGACTCCCCGAGGTGGCTTCTTGCTGATTTGTCCCTGGGGGGTCTTTGGGGAGGCCTGAAAGATGAAGAAGGCAGCAGCTGGGGGCCTGCCTGCTGGGCTGTGCCCTTCCAGATTTAATTTATATCCAGCAGGGGATGGGGAAAGCTCTTCGGTGCGCTTTGCTTGGGCAAGCTTTGAACCAGCGCGCTTCGGGCGGCAGCTTCTCCAACCCCAGGGTGCTCCTGGTGAGAGGTTTGGGGTCCCGCTGAGCCTGGCTAAGAGGCGACACCTCCCAGCTCACCCGGCCACCTCCGCTTCCAGGCCAGCATCATCGTCACCGCGCGCCCGTCGGCCGTGCGCCGCATCCCCGGCAAGTACGTGGGGCGCTACGCCGAGATCTGCGGCTTCTCCGACACCAACCTGCAGAAGCTCTACTTCCAGATGCGCCTCAGCCAGCCCGGCTGCGACGGAGAGGGTGGCGAGGGCTCGGGCGAGCAGGAGAACCTGGTGGAGATGCTGTGGAGGAACCTGGAGCGCCAGAACCAGATCGCCGCCGCCTGCTTCTTGCCCTCCTACTGCTGGCTGGTGTGCACCACGCTGCATTTCCTCTACTTCACCCGCACGGTGCCGCCCAGCCAGACCCTGACGGGCATCTACACCAGCTTCCTGAGGCTCAACTTCAGCGGGGAGGTGCTGGACAGCAGCGAGCCCACCGCCGTCTCCATGATGAAGTACGTGGCCAAGACGGTGGGCAAGCTGGCCCACGAGGGGGTGATGACCCGCCAGACCTGCTTCTCGGAGGAGGACCTGCGGCAGTGCTTCGAGGTGGAGATGAAGACGGAGAGCGAGCTCAACCTCCTGGAGGTCTTCCGCAGCGACGTCTTCCCCTTCTTCCTCACGCCCTGCGTGCAGCCGGGCAGGGAGCACACTTTTGTCTTCACCATCCCCGCCATGCAGGAGTACCTGGCCGCCCTCTACGTGGTGCTGGGCGAGAAGAAGACCCTGGCGCAGAAAGTGGGCAAGGAGCTGTCGGAGCTCATCGGCAAGGTGAGCGAGGACGCCGCCGTGGTGCTGGGCATCGTCTCCAAGGTGCTCCCGCTGCGCTTCCTGCCCGTCCTCTTCAACCTGCTCAAGATCTTCCCCCGCTTCTTCTCGCGGCTGAGCGGCAAGGACCGCGACACGATCGCTCGCACCATGGCGGAGGAGCTGTTCAAAGAGGAGGACTACTACAACGACGACGTCTTGGACCAGATCAACTCCAGCATCCTGGGCGTGGAGGGCCCCCTGCGGCACCCCGACGAGGCCCCCGACGACGAGGTCTTCGAGCTCTTCCCCATCTTCATGGGGGGGCTGCTGTCCCGCCGCAACCGCGCCCTCCTGGAGCAGCTGGGCTGCTCCATCAAGAACCTGGCGGCCTTGGAGATCGCCGAGGCCATGAAGAAGACCGTCATCAGGAACAGCCGCAAGGGGCTGCCCCCCTCGGAGCTGATGGATTACCTCTTCTTCCTGCACGAGTTCCAGAACGAGCGCTTCACGGCCGAGGCCGTCCGCTCCCTGCGCACCGTCAACCTCTCCTCCGTCAAGCTCACCCCCCTCAAGTGCTCCGTGCTGGCCTCCGTGCTGGGCGCGGCGTGCCACGAGGTGGACGAGCTCAACCTCACCTCCTGCAACCTGGACGCCGCCAGCTTGAGGACCCTCTTCCCCGTCCTGCTGCGCTGCAAAGTCCTCCAGTGAGTACCCGGACGGCGTCCCCCCGGGCTCCCCTCGCCTCCAGCCGGGGCAGGGAGCGGGGAGGAGGATTTTATCTGTGCTCAGAGCCATCCCCGAGGACTACAGCATCCGTCGTGCCCTGCTCCTGGCTCGGGTGCTGCGTGCCAGGACCTGCAGTCCCCCCGCAGCCTCCCCGCGAGCAGCGCCCGGTGCCCGCGGGCTTCATCCCATTGCTCGGTGCCCCCCGGTAGCTCGCCCCATTGGGTCCAAGCAGGGGATGCGGACCCCAAAGTAGGGGACATGGGGTCCGTCGCGGTCCATTTGGGGCGCTGCAGTCTTCCCGTCGCCCAGGGGGTGGCGAGCAGCGCTCGCAGAGATGGAGGCGGCCGTGCAGCGGGGCTGGGCGCCGCTTCCTTCCTCTGGAGCTTGGGGAGGGCTTGGAGGGGTCCTGCTCCCCCCCGAGACCCTCAGCACCCCCAGGCAGGGCTCGGGGCCCCCTCCCCTCCCTCGCTCCTGCTGGCACTGACTCTGAAGCTGACGCTGCCCCCGTGCCCTGTGCTCCTTTTTGGGGAGGAAACCTCGGGGGGCTTTGTCTGGGGAGCCCAAGCGGGGCGGCGATGGGGAGGACGGGGTGAGCGGCACCCCCCCAGGCAGCATTTTGGCTGCTCCACCCGCTGTATTTCGCCCTGCACCAGCCTGCAGCTCAACAGCCTGGGCCCTGATGCCTGCGAGGAGCTGCGCGCCCTGCTGCTGCACGCCAAGTGCGCCGTGAGCGACCTGCGGTGAGTGCTGCCTCCATCCCCACCCCAAAAAAAAACCCCTCCCCGCTCCAGGACCCGCTTCCCAGCATCACCAGCTCCCTGAACGCGCATCCCCGTGCCCCGCAGGCTGTCCAACAACCCGGTGGGGGTGCAGGGGGCACGGCACCTGGCCGAGGCGCTGGCGGGGAACCGCTCGCTGAGCCGCCTGTCCCTGCTGCACGCCGCCCTGGGGGACCGGGGCGCGGAGGAGATCGCTCGGCGCCTGCCCGAAAACCAGCAGCTGCAGGAGCTCAACCTGGGCTACAACTCCCTGACGGATGCGTCCGCCCTGAGCGTGGTGGAGGTGGCCAAGAAGCACGCCACGCTGGACAAAGTGCAGTGAGTTCAGCCCGCCCGCTCGCGGGCGATGCTCCCCTGCCCGATATCCCTCCTGCTGGCACCTCTCTGCCCTAAATCCTGCCCCATCGCCGTCTCCTTTTCTCCTCTCTCCCCCCAAGTTTGTACTTCAACGACATCAGCGAGGAGGGCAAGCGGGCGCTGCACAGCCTGCGCATGGAGCGGGACGGCGTCAGGGCGCTCGTCTTCCTCACGGCGGGCACCGACGTCTCCGACTACTGGTCCAACATCCTGAGCACCGTGCAGAGGAACCTGCCCTTCTGGGACCGCGAGCGGGTTCGCCAGCACCTCGCCCTCCTCCTGCAGGACCTGGAGAGCAGCCGGAGGCAGACGGGCAACCCCTGGAGGAAAGCCAAGTTCCTGCGGGTGGAGAGCGAGGTCAAAAGGATGCTGGCGAAGCTCCAGAACGGGACCCTGTGAGCCGCCGGCCGGGCGGGGAGGAAAATCTATCCCCGGGGGGAGATGCCCAGCGGTCGGGTGCTGCTGAGGCTGTCCAAGGCGTTGGGTACGTGGGAGGACCACCAGGAGCCCAGGAACACCCGGGACTTCTTCTTCTTCTGGGCTTGGAGAGTCCCAGCCCCTGGTGGCCTGGAGCCGAGCCGTGGCAGGGGCAGGGCTCTGGCTTGCTTGTGAAATCCTCGGTGGCATTAAAGCGCTCCGCTTTAGTTTCCTGGTCTCGCTCTTCCCCGCCGCCGCCGTGGGCTGAAGCTGGGAGCCCCTCGGGCTGTCCCCGAGCCCCTCCTCGGGGTGTTGGATCCCAATTCCCAGCCCTGCTGGGCGAGGGCAGGCGATGCCCCGGGGCTGGGAGGGCAGGGGAGACGTCGGGGGCTGTTTAACCATTAAACCTGCGGCGTCTTGGGAGAGGCGGGGACGCTGGCCTCGCTGCCACTTCACCCTGTACCTTGATCCCCCTCGCCTTCGCTGCTGCCATGAAGCAAATGGAAGGTAGGTGCCGGGGGAACGGGGCCTCGTCCCGCACAGCCCCTGCCCCACGGGCACGTCCCCGGCTCTGTAGGGCAGCGGCAGAGCCCGGGGAGGCGCCGGGAGGGAGCCAGGAAAACGCAGCTGGGCTGTGGGTGGGGGGGCTCGGCAGGAATCCCCTCTCCGGGGCATCGTGCTGGAAGAGGTGGGGAGGTTTCCAGCAGTTTTGGGGCCTCGTTGCCCTCCTTACACCCACCCAAAAGTCTCGGAGAGGGGGGGGCTGTGCAGACTCTGCGAGCCCACTTGCCGTGGCATGGCACGCAGCCTGTGCCTCCTGCGCTCACCTCTCCTCTCCCCCCCGCAGGGTTCGAGGGCGACAGGACGGCCATCGTGTAAGTGCTGAGCTCCCCCCGCCCGGGGTCTCGTGGCCCCATAACGGGGCTGTGCTGGGGCGGTGCGGGACGGGCTTCCTGGTCCCGGGGAGGTTCTTCCCTGAGCTGTCAGCTCGGGAGAGATGTAGGGTCAGCCCCAAAAGGGACGTCCCAACCTGGTTTGCCCCATTGGCAGGGCTGGGGTGGGCAATGGGAGGGCGCTGGGGCTGCCCTAATGTGGCCTCCCCCGGCCCTTTATCATTTCAGAAAGTTTGAATTTAACCCCAAAGATGGGATCGACAACCCTGCCCTGTCGCTGGCTGAGGACACGGGTAAATACCCCGCTCTCCTGTGGGATCAGGGCACCCGGGGGCACCCCAGGGTGCGCGTGCCAGAGGGAAACGGAGACCCCCACGGCTATGGGGAGGGGGTCCCGGTCCCACAGAGCATCCCTGCAGCCCCTGCTCACCTCCCGTGCCCCCTCGCAGATGGAGAGGCCGCGGGGGAGCCCCGCTTCTACCTCCTGAGCAAGGGCAGCGCGGAGACCTTCGGCTTCTGCCTCCACAAGGAGCTGGGCGGCCGGGGCCATGTGGTGAGGCAGGTGGAGCTGGGGGGGCTGGCCCAGCGCAGGGGGCTGCAGGACGGGGACCGGCTCCTGCAGGTCAACGGGCGCTTCGTGGACCACCTGGACCACCAGCGGGTAAGCCCCGAGCACCCCAAGGGAGGCGCAGAGGGTCCCCAGCTGCCCCTGTTCTCCGGGGTGAAGTGCTGGAGGATGGATTTGTGCCCCGAGGTGGTGCAGAGGATCAAGGCCAGCGGGAACCAGGTGCTGCTGGCGGTGCTGGACGGCGATTCCTACGAAGCAGCCAAAGCCCTGGGCAGGGACCTGGCTCAGCTGCTGCCCGCCGACGTCCGCCCGCGCCTCTGCCACATCAGGAGGGACAAAAACGGCTTCGGCTTCAGCGTCTCGGGGCCAGAAGGTACAGGATGGGGACGGGGACGGGGATGGAAACCTGCCGGTGGTGTCACCCCGCTGGCTCCATCCCGCTCCTTCCCCTGGCGCAGGCACCAAGGGGCTGTTCCAGCTCTCGGTGCGGCACGGCGGCCCGGCGGACAGAGCGGGGGTCCCCACAGGCTCCTGGCTCCTGGAGCTGAACGGGGCCAGCGTGAGGAGCTGCTCGCGCGCCCAGCTCGCCCGAAAGGTGCGTGCTGCCCTTCCCGGGATGGGCGCAGGGCTGGCCGTGGTGCTCAGCATCCCCCTGGTTGTCCTACAGCTGAAGCAGAGCGGCAGCAAAATGACGCTGCTGGTGGCATCGGGCACCGTGGAGGAGTTTTATCGCCTGCGGGGGCTGCAGGTGCCGGCCGCCGCTGCGGACGCCTCCTGGCTGCCCTATAAAGCTCGCGAGCTGCACATGGTGAAGGGCCCCGGTGGCTACGGGTTCCTGCTCAAGGAGGATGACTACGGGGCGGGGGCGATAGGTGAGGGGGGGATCGGGGAGAGCTGCGAGCCCCCTGCCTGTGCTGGGGGCTGCTCCCAACGGGATTTGGGGTCCAGCAGTGTGGGATCCCCCCCGTGAGCATCTTCTTTCCCCTGTCCCCGCTGCGGCAGGCCAGTTCCTGTGGGAGGTGGATGCCGGGCTGGCGGCCGAGCGGGCGGGGATGAGGGAAGGGGACCGGGTGCTGGCGGTGAACGGCGAGAGCATCGAGGGGCTGGACCACCAGCAGACGGTGCTGAGGATCCGCGCCCACGAGGACCGGGTGACGCTGCTGGTCATCGACCCCGCCAGCGACGAGTTTTACCGCTCGGTATGCCTCGGGGACCCCTGGGAGCTGGGGAGAGTAAGGTTATGGGGTGGATCTCAGCCCCAAACCTGCGTGGGGAGGTCCCTTTAGGGCTCCCGGCTTGCTGTGGAGCTCCAGGAGCCGCACAACTCACCCCTCGGTGCTCTCTTCCAGCTGGGGCTGTCCCCTCTGCTGTTCCTCGAGGACGGTGACCCTGCCTCGGGCTCCTGCACGCCCTCCCTGCCCTCTCCCCACGGCTCCCCTGGGCTCTGCCACGTCGATGTGGGACCAAAAGGCCCCGGCTCCTGGCTGGTGGCTGCTGCCAACAGCATAACCATCGCCCAGGTAACCCGTGGCGCCGCGCTGCTCCTGTCCCGGTCCTTCCCTGGCCCCCTGGGGCTGGTGGGAAGGGGCTGCGTGGCCCTTTGGCCACAGGGGCTGAGCAGAAAGCTCCCCAAAACCCACCCACAGAGCGTTTTGGGGCGGGTGGATGTGTGCTGCCCTCTTGTCCCCACAGAGCCCGCGCAAGGAGGAGCAGAGGTGGCTGCACGAGGCGTTCTAGTGGCCCCCACCACGACCCCGGCAGGTCCAGCCTGCTGCTGCTCCCGGTTCCAGCTCCCCGGAGAGCAGAGGAGCTGCTCGGGACGGCCAACGCTGCTCCAGGCTGGAGCTGCCGGCATCACACCTCGCACGGACTCGCCTCTGCTGCCCGAGGCTGGCCCCAGGCTTTTCTTAGCGGCCACCTGAAGGCAGAGCTGCGCCCTCGCCGGCCCCGCTGCCTCCAGGAGCGTTTGGGGACGTGGCACTCGAGCCCTCGCCCAGCTCCAGGCTCTGGGTCGCCCCCAGGAGAGCCGAGGTTGTGCCCCTCACGCCGTGACCCGGGGCGAGGGGGAGCCTGGAGCTCGGCTCAGCCCGGGGCTGGCCCTCGGGCAAAGGGGAGAAGGAGCAGCGGAGGCCTCGGGGCACTGGAGGAATCCCCCAGCTCCGCTCCTGGACTTTATGGGATGGTGAAACCGACAAGGATCAGGGCTTGTAAAAATGCTGTGACTGTGAGAATAGTTGGTAAGCTTTCCATCCTAATGTCCTGTTCTGCTTGGCGCTTCCGCGTCCCCCCATAAAGGACACGAACCCACTCCGCCGGTCCCGTGGGTGGTGTAACGGAGGCTGTGGGGCTCAGGATCCCTCACCCAGGCTGGAGGTGGAGCTGGGAGGCTCTCCACGTGCTGCTGGCCCCCTCCTGGAGTCCCCCGGGGTGCTACATCTCCAGGGGGTTGAGGCCAAACTCCTGCAGGCGCTGCTTGTGCTGCAGCTCGACGGCCGTGCCCTGCTCCTCCCAGTGCTGCCTGGCCTCGGCCAGCTTGGCCAGCACCAGGTCCAGGCTGTCCTGCTGGGAGAAAGGACGGTGAGAAGGGGAACGGTGCTGCCCGGGGGAACCCCGTCCCCAAAAAACATCCCCACTCACGTGGAGGATCTGCTCGTACTCGCTCTCCATGGCACGCATCGTGCCCTGCAGCTGGGCGATGGTCCTGTCCCGCTCTGCCAGCGCCTTGCTGGCAGCCTCGTGGCTCCTCTGGCTCTCCTGGAGCCTGCTGGCTGCGGGGTTGGGGACAGGGGACACTGAGGACTGAGGGCACAGGAGGCTGGCACTGCCCCATCTGTCCCTGCCCCTGGGGTGGCACAGGGTTTGGGGACGGGGTGCAGGGGATGCGCCGAGAGCAGGGTCAGGCTTTGCCTTCAGCTCCTGCTGTGCCCACAGCGCAAGGCGAATGGCTCCCATCTCCCTGTTTCTCCCCCCAAAATGTGCTTTGCTGCCCTGGAAAGAACCCGTCCCCATCCCAGCAGCAAGGGGGGGGTGTCTGGGGCCGTACCGAGCTGCTCCCGCAGGCTCTTCACCTCCGCCTCCAGGCGCTGGCTGTGGGCTGCCGCCTGCCTCTGCAGCTCCTGGTGCTGCCGGCTCATTTCTGGGAGCCGGGGAGAGGAGAAAGGGACGATAGGAGGGATGGGAGGGAGCTCCCCGAGCTGGGAACCCGGCCCTGGTGGCCAGAGGGGAGGCTCTCCTCCTGTGGGGGGAACCGCTCAGCCTCTGCGCCGAGCGTGGGAGAGCGAAAACGAGCCCGGAGTTTTGCATGTGGCGAAGACCGCAAACCTCTGGCTGAGGTTTTCACCTCTGCTCACAGCAGCTCTGGCTCGAGCGCTGGAGGAAGCGGCACGGCCGGGGGCTTCTGCAGCCAGGGGAGGCTCCCCCCGTGCTCTGCCTGCACCGGGGCGGCGTGGGGCTGAGCAAAATGGCCCAAAGGGAGAGCTGGGGTGAGCTTGGTGGCATCCCAAGGTGTGGGACCCCGCGTCTGCCCCCTCACCTTGGTGCATGTCCCTTTTGTCCTCCCGTTCCTGCTCCAGCGCCAGCTCCAGCTCCCGCAGCCTCCGCCGGAGCCCCTCGCTGTCCGCCCTCGCCCACGGGGCCGTGTCCCTCCAGCGAGCTGCGAGGCAGAGATATGGGGCTGCTGTGGGGTCTGTGTGCCCACAGGGGGTGGCCCACGGGGATCCAACCCCTGGAGCGGCACCGTGCAAGCACGGGGAGCTGCAGGGCTCCACGCACCGGGGGGCCCTGCTCAGTGCCATGCCCAGCACCCCGATTTTCCTGCCCTCACTCCCTTCCCAAGCTTGCCCCTGGCTCCTCCAAACCTCACCCGGGTGCTCTCCCAGGCTGTCAGCCTCTTCTGACGCTCTCCTGGACGTGGCTTCAGCTCGGCTTTCTGCAGCCAGAGGGGAGGAAGAAGAGAGGGAGTGAGGAGCAGCCCGGCCGTGGGGCTCAGCCCGGGGACACCGAGGGCTCGCACGTGGCTCGGGGGCAGCTCCCTCGGGATGCTCGCCCCGGGAAGGCTTGGCCGGGACACACCTGCAGCTGAAAGGCTGGCGCCAGGGCTGCGTTTTGGCAGACACCGAGGCAGGGTGCAGCCGGTTTTACTCCAAGCAACTTCCCTGCAGAGGTTGCACCCTCACGCGGGACCGCGGGCTGATATTTTGGGGGGAAAACAGGGCAGCAGCCAGGCTCCTTGGTGCACAGAGCTTTGGGGACCCTTCCCAAACCCCGCTCCGGGCATTCTTCCCCTCTCAGAGGTCTGTGGAAGCCGGGGCCTGGCACTTTGAAGCTCCCCACCCAGGTCCTGGAGGTGCAGCGGGTCCCTGGGGACCCTGCTGCCTCCTCCTCCTCCTCCTCAGCATAGCGGGAATGCGAGGGTCACATCCCTGCTGCCTCAAGGCAGGCAGGATCCCAAACTCACCCGCTGCACTTCTCCTTTTCTGCTGCTTCACTCTTTTCCCCTTCCCTTTGCCCTTTGGAGGCATCCTCCGGCAGCGCCGCTGGCAGGGACCCGGCTCCCCGAAGGCGCAGCAGCTGCCTGGAAGCCAAACCCCGCTGTTGTAGCAACTGTGTCCGCAGCGAGGGCAGCTCGTCGCCTGGCCCCACGCCTTCCCCCGCCTCGCAGCAGCTGAGCATTTCAGTATTTCCCCTCCCAGTGACACAGGCGTGGGCCACACACCCCTAGAGCAGCGCCGGGGTGGTCCAAGGCAGTCCCCGCTGTCGGCACCGAGCCGCTTGGGCTCGGCTGGACCCCGTCCCAAAAGCATCCCACAGCTCCGGTCCCACAGCAGCCTGGTGGCTCCGTGGGGATGGGGCAGGGAGGGCGACGCTCCCAGGTCGCAGCCCGAGGCCAGCCCAGCGCCTCGCTCCCTTCCTGCCCTGGCTCTCCCCTCCGGCACACCCCAGCTCTGCCCTGGGGAGCGGGGCTGGATTTTGACCCTCTTTTATTAAAAAAAAAAAGAAGCGAGGAAGGAAGGGAGGGGATTTCAGGCTGTTGTTTCTGCTCGGGACACGGTTAACCCCGAGGAGCTGGGAGCGTGTGGAGGTGCTTTCTTCCGCAGGATGCTGAGCTCGCTGCGTGGGCTCTGGGCGAGGAACATCGCATCCCCCACTGCTGCCAGCGCGGTCCCAAATCCTCCTTCCGCAGGGAGGAGGCAGTCCCCAAGGAAAGCAACCTTTGCTTGAGGTCCTGCACGGAAAGAAGCCGCGGCTCGGGGTGAATCACGCCCGGGGAAGCAGATAGGCAGCGAATTTTTGTGCTTGGCTCCACCAGGCTGGTGTAACCCTCCCCAGCCCTCTCCCCAGGTACTTGTGGTATCCCGGAGCTGGCCAGGACACCCTCCGGTGGTCAGTCCGGCTTGACTATTAGCCAGAAGCCATTAGCATCTAATGGGAAAAAAACCTCAGGAACACGGCCTCAATAAACGTTGACATATTTGAGGTCGATCTAATCCTTCGGAAAATTTGCCCAGGTAATTAAAGCCAGACAAGGAGCTGCCTGTCCCAGAACCAAAGGCTGTAACATCAAGACGGGGACGTTTATAACCGATTTATACACGGTTACTTGGCCGCATCTGGTGCAGCCAAAAAAAAAAAGTGTGTTTTTGTGTTGTTTTTTTTTGCCTTTTTTAGGGGATTTGCACACCCTGTGCCTGGGTGCGGGGCAGCGAGCTTGGCCATGGGGTTTGCTCCAGCCTGCAGCCCCTGCCTCTGGGTGCTTGTGCGGGACACTTGACACAGGCCACACTTCAGTATTTGCTGTTTTTGTGTTTTCTTTCCCCTTCTTGTTGTAGGAATTAACGCCTGAGCACAACATGGCTGTGGGGATGTGGTGACTGCGGGGCGAGGAGCGGGCTCTGCGGCAGCTCCTGCTGCAACGCAGCCGCCCGCTTCCCGATTTCTGAACGTCTTCGTGTGGAAAAAAAAGGAAGTTAGCCTTTAAAAAGGGGAAATAATTCTAATTTGCAAGGCGCAGGGGGCGGCGCGGCCTGGGCCCAGCAGGCCGCCAGACCCGTTGCCATGGCGACGCCGCCCCGCCCGGCCCGCGCCCCCCTCCCGCCCTCACTAAACATGGCCGCCGCGCCGCCCTCCCCTCCCTGCGCGCCTGCGCGGAGCCGGCGGGAGGGGGGACAGAGCGCACGGGCGCTGCCCAATAGCCGCCGGCCCCTCCCCGGCGGAGTGGGCGGGGCGAGGCGGGCGGGGGGGCGGCGCGACCAATCAGCGCTCAGCTGGGGGGCGTGGCCAAGGGGGGTGTAGGGCGTGGCTGGCGCGGAGGGCGGCACTTGGGCGGAGGGCGGGGCAGGGGCCGGAGCCGGGCGCCCCCCGCTGCCGCCGCCGCCGCCGCCGCCAGCACCGCCCGCGGGCTCCGCGGCTGCCGCTGCCGCCGCCCTCCCGGCCTGGCCCGGCCCGGGGCTGCGCCCCCCCTTCCCCGGCCGCTTTCCCTGCAGGGCCCTGAGGCCCGGAGCCGCCTCCGCGCCGCTCTGATGTCGGCTCCGCTGAAGAAGGGCCCCGGGGGGCTGATCGGGCTGATGAAGGACGCCTTCCAGCCCCACCACCACCACCTCGGCCCCCACCAGCCCGGCGCCGTGGATAAGAAGATGGTGGAGAAGTGCTGGAAGCTGATGGACAAGGTGGGGCTGGGGGATGGGGTTTGGAGGGGGTTTGGGGGGGGGTTGGGGTTTGGGGAGGGGGGTTTGGGGGGTTTATGGGGGTGTTTAGGGGGGTGTTTGGGGGTTTGGGGGGGAATGGGGTCCCTAGGGCAGTGGGAAGTGATGTTAGGGGGCTATGGGAGGTTTTGGGGTTAGGGGGAGGTTTTTGGGGGGTTGGGGTAAGGAGGAGGCAGGGTTTGGGGTGTTGGGGGGGTTATAGGGTCGTGGGGAAAGGAAGGGAAAGGTTTTGGGGGTGGGGGGGGAGGGAGCAGGGAGGGTTTGGGGTGGGGGGGTGGGAGGAGGGTTGGGGGTGGTGGGTAAGGAGGGTTTTTCTTTGGGGGGTGTAGGGAAAGTTGAGGTGTTTTGGGGTGGGGGCATCGCCCCGTGGTGTTCCCATGGGCAGAGGCTGGCTGTGGGCCGGCCCTGGGGGGCTGCAGGTGAATTTTGGGGTGCCCCATGGGGTGCAGGCCTGTGCTGGGAGCCTGCTTTGTCCCCTGAGCCCCTAGGGCTGTGTGGCTGGGGCTGGGCTCAGCACAGCTCCTGCTCCTTAAAAAACCCCAAAAGCGTCAGTGGGAGCCCCTGGTGCAGCCCTGCGAGGAGCTGGGGGCCGTCTGCCTGCCCTCCCCTCCCCTCCTCCGCTGTAAAATGCCAGGAAATGGCTGTTGTGGGGGCAGGACAGCGGGACTCGGGGCCTGACGGATCACAGAGCTACGGCCTGGAGAAGGGACTTGTTGTAGGAAATCCCGGCGAGTGCTTGGTTTGTTTGGGATCCTGGCGTTATTTATGGAGCGACCCGGGGAACGAGCATCCAGAAAGGAGCAGAAACGTAAAAATCTTCTGTTTTCCCCTCTGGGAGCAGGGCTGGGGGCATCCCTCACCCCCTCACCCCACACTTCTCAACCCTCCTCTCTCGTCCCCGCGGTGTTTATGCATGCAGCGTCTGAAGCTCCTGCAGCAAACGCCGAGGGAAGCAGCGTAGATGACTTTCTTCAAGCCGTATTAAATGGTGTTCGTGCCAAGAAATCACTTGGTGTTGGCCGCCTCGCCAGAAGGCACGGCTCGTAGCTGTGCTCCTGGTGAGCTCTGGTCACTTTTCCCAGCCTGAGGATGGAGCACGGGAATTTGGGGCAGCACCGGGGGGCTAACGTGGGACAGGTGGCTTGGGGCAGAGCTCAGGAACGCGTTTCTCTTGGCAATAAACTCCCAGATGCAACTTGTAGGAATGCAGCTCTTCGTTCCTGCCTGGACGTGATGGATGTGGATGTCAGCCCCTGTTTGACTCCGTCGGCTGGGCTGCTCGGAGCAGGCAGCCTGCAAAAAGCTCCGAGTCCCCTGGCGTGGCTGGGGGATGCGTTCACATCACATCTGGGGAGCCACGGTGAAATCACCAGCAGAAAAGCCGAGCCAGGGCTACCCCGTGTGTGCCACGGGTCCAGGTAACCTCATCCCAGTGTGCACGCACCTCCCGGCTCTGCTGCCGGAGTCAAACACGGGTTGGCATCCACATCAGGTGAGGTTTTGGTGAATTTGGGTTGTGTTATGCCCACTTAGAAGACATTTGGGTTGGAAATTCGTTTAATGGTGCAGCAAATTGCCCGGCTTTTATACAGTGGTTGTGGAAGGAGCGATGAGAGAGGATAAACGAGTGGAAGCTGTCGGAATTGGGTTGGCTTTTCGGGCCAATTAAGTGAAATTACAGGTACAAATTGGAAAAAAAACCAACCAACCAATAACCATTAGTAGCTGATGCTTGCCTTGCAGAGCCGTGAGCTGTATCCGTGCGTTCACGACCTGGTTCCTTGCTCTGCACCATGAGCTGCTGCCCGAGCACTCGCGCCTCTCTGCTTCAGGAGCCGCCTCCTGCGTTTCCCATGCGAGCTGCTCCTCCTCCAGATGCTCCTCAGGACCTTCTCTGATGCGTCCCTGTCCTTCAGACCCCTGCAGCTCAGCTTTTTGGTGGTGCTGAGCGCCTCTCCTGCCGTGGGACGTGGTAGGGTGGCACGGGTGGCCCTCTCCATCCCCGCAGCAGGATGCTGAGCTGGGTGAGGGCGATGGATTTGGCTCTGCCCCGGCAGTTCGGATGCCTGCGAGCCTGCAAACCCGCAGCAGTCACTTCCTTCTGGGCTCCAACCTGGTGGCCTACAGCTTGCTTCAGCTGCTTTCGGGTTGTTTTTATCGTGCTGGCTCATCTTATCACAGTTTTCAGCAAATAAAGCGGTGCTCGGTGTCAGAAAACCGATGATGTATCGGCTGTTGAAACCAGTTCGGGTGTTTTTTTTTTTTTAAGGGAAGGGCTGAAGCTGTGAATCAGCTCAGCAAACGTGACCCAGCAGCGGGGGCTGCAGCCCACCGGAGCTCGGGGTGGGGTTTGAGGCACGGGTGGCGGTCACCAAACACCCAGGGAGAGGTGCAGGGGGTGTCACAGCTCCTGCTGTTCACAGCAGAAGGAGGCGAAACACGAGTTCGGCAGGGGATGGGGAAATTTAGGCGGCTTCCCTTCTCCTGGTGGCTCCAGATGAGGTGGGGTTTCCAGAGAACTTGGCTGTCGAGCTCTTTAGGGAAGAAATGAAGCTTGTCCGAACCATGGGAAGAATGGGGAAATGACAACCCCAAGTTGACTGGATTGTTTTCTTTGCTTCAAAAAATGAAAAATTGTTGAAGTCAGGCTTAGGGTTCTTACCAGGTCTTCTTAGAGTCTTCTTGCTGGACTTGAGGAGCTTTGGAAGCGCTTCTGCTATTTCTAAAAACCCCAAAGTCTCCATAAAGCCGTGTTCCTGAGAGCACAAAGCAGAAACGAGGCCGGCTTGGCTGAGCTGAGACCGCTTAAAACCACGGCTTGCTTGTGCTTGCTGCTGTCACACCTAACGAAATGTGTGCTGGCTGCTCCGTTTCCTTCCCCATTGCTGCTCCCGGGGCTGGGGACACTTCTCAGGGCACTGTCACCCTGCTGCCAGCCCCCGGAGGGACACACACGATGCCCCGGGGCTGCTGCTGCTGGGGGAACAAGCAGCTGGGCAGCGGTTCCTGTTGTAGGGGCTGTGTTTAACCCCTTATCTGAGCTGGTTTGGGGCGACTCGGTCAATCGAGCAGCTCGTTTGGTAATAAAATCAACGCTGCTCGGGCCCTGCTGCGAGCTATTTTGGGTGTCCTCGCGAGTCACGGCGTGTGAAGTGTTTGGTGGAGGCTTTGAGAGCTTTGCAGGACTTGCTTCTGCTGCGAGGAAAATGAATTGCTCCCAAGGTTGGGGCTATTGCGGATTTTTGGGGTCTGCCCCTGCAGCTGGGGCTTTGGGGGCAGCAGCCAAGCCCGTTTCTGTTACAGTGCCTGCGAGCAGGGCTGGCACGCTTGCTTCATGTGGCTTCCTCGTCCCGAGCGCTTTGAAGCCTCCAAACCCAGCGTGTAACAAGCAGCCTCGCTGCAAGAAGGGATTTTGCTCTCCAAAATGCAGCTCGGCTGCGATCTGGTAGGGCCCTGGCCTCACGCAGGGGATGGACGTGTTGCTTGGGGTGGCTTTTCCAGGCGAGGACTTCCCTAAAGGACAGTCAGACTTTTTTTTTTCTGCTCAATTTTCAGCAGCCCGCTGCCCTTCCCTTCTCCATCCCCTCTTGTAGGGGCATTGCTCCGAGTCAGACGCCGCTGAACCCCACGAGGTTGCTTTTTGCTTGTGCCCCAAATGACAGAGTGAAACGCTGAACTTCTCTTTTCGGACTAAATTACTTCATTTTCCAGCACCCCTTAGGTTTTTAAGGGAAGTGGAGGTTTAAGCATGCCCTGTAGGGAACCAGTCCCTTAAATTCCTCTTGAAGGTCTCTCTCGCTGTCTTTCATGGTAGGTAATAGAAAATTTTGGCAGTGGTGGATGATGAAGAGACTTCTTTTACCCTCCCCAGTCATAAACTTCTTACCCTGAGCTGTTGGTGTGTCCATCAAGGACCTACATGAAGTTCAGCTTGGATCTCAGTTTGCCTGTGATGCCCGAGCAGCAATATTCTCCTGGGCGCTTACACCTTAACTGCAGGATGCACGAGTGCCTAAAAATGCAGTTATTCTGTCAGTGAACCTAAAAATTCTCTTTAGATGGTGAAGCTCTGGGTTGACGTATTCAGGTTCTTTGAGAATGTGATCTGCCTGCCTTAAAAAAAGGAGAACTTGGGGCTGGGAAGGAAGAGAAGTTAGATATTTAGCTGTGCGCCAAGCAGCAGGCAGGGCATGGGCATCCAATAGCCCTTTCCCCTAATTATTAGCACCAGAAGAGCTGTGAATATGCTACATTTTTTTTAAAAAAGGCACAAATTATTGTGAAGAATTCCCTTTTTCTATGAGATTTGTCTACTGGAAGCCAGGCTGATGTGTAACAGGGAACACAAGTTCTCAAGAGCTCAATTTTTTTCCAAGCTTTCCCCTACAGTGCCCATCATGCCTGTGGCTTCCTTCTCATCCTTGCCCAGATTTCCTTTGCCTTCACCCTTCCCTGATGGCCGTAATTATCCCCAAAAAGCTCTTGTTCCTCGTGGTCCTTGCACTATTGAGGTGAAATTCTGCTCAGGGGTGTGCTCAGAGCCTGCGGCAGCAAGTCCTGGGCGCACCGCTGGTCGGCTACATCTGTGCCACTACAAACCCAATAAATATGCTCCATGTTCCTGAATTTTGTTTTTTATGATGAGGTGGGGTGAAAAGCAGCCTCGTGAACCAGTTATCTGTGTGCTGGGGGTTTTGCTCTGTGGGTTTGGTGGTGGCTGGGTTCCCCGTCTGGACTCGAGCACCCAACACAGCTTGTTGGGAGCGAGGGTTTTGGTGTGCCGCGTTCGTAAGTAACCCCGAGCTGTCTTTAAGTGACCGATTGCTGCTTGATTTTTTTTTTTTTATTAAAAATGAGTGTTCTGGATTAACCGCAGGTGGTGCGTTTGTGCCAGAACCCGAAGCTGGCGCTGAAGAACAGCCCGCCCTACATCCTCGACCTGCTGCCTGACACCTACCAGCACCTCCGCACCATCCTGTCGCGCTACGAGGGGAAGATGGAGACCCTGGGAGAAAACGAGTATTTTCGGGTCTTCATGGAGAACCTGATGAAGAAAACCAAGCAGACCATCAGCCTCTTCAAGGAAGGGAAGGAGCGGATGTACGAGGAGAACTCTCAGCCTAGGTAACGGGGAAATGGTTTCGGATATCCGCGGTGTGAATTCGCTTTGGTGAGATGGCTGCTGAGTGGCGTGTTGTCTGCCCCTCAAAGCAGACCTGGGATGAATTTAAGGCTAAACATGCAGTTTGAAGTAAAATATACTCAGCTACGTTGGAATCAGAGCGTGGAGTAAGTGTTCAGAGCCTGCGTAGCCTCGGCTGTTGTCTGGTTCAGGTGTGCTTGGTTCATGTGAACCATCAGGTGTGCTGTGGAAAGGTTCTGCACGTATTTTTCATTCTCCATAGAGAATCTCTCATGAGAGAGGCTGGTAAGGTTCAGAATCACCTTTCTGGCCATTTTTTGAAACAGAATAATACTTTGTTATCTGTACCAAAGGTATCATCTTTGGGCTTCGTTGGATTTTTTCCTTTTTCTAGGAACTGTTTCCAACGGAGGGGGAAGAAGTAAAAACCTCAATTTGTGGGAAGAAGGCGTTGAGCTAAAACCCCCAAACCTTCAGACATTGAAAACTTGCTTTTTAAGGGTGCGAGCAGTCTTGCAAATGCATTTTTTTTTTTTCAGCAGTCGTATCTTAAAGGTGAAAAGTGCTCACTGAAATGGGTGGGTGGAAAAGGAGACTGCAACTGTGTTTGGAAATAAGCTTCGCTTGGTTCAAAATAGCGTGAATTTGATGAGCACTGCGCTGTGCTCGACTGCTTTCCTTCCTTTAGCTTTAAGGAAAGCAAAGCTCGGGTGACTTAGGAGAAGGGTAAAGCTCTGGGAAACGCCGATCCAACATCCAACGTGTTTGCCTAACTGCTGGCAGCCGGGTGTGATGGACAGAGATACAAAGCATGCGCCTGTAATTTTAAACTCCGTGCAGGGTTTTGCAGTAGGCATCGAATTAAGAAAAAAAAATAGAAAAAAAAAGTGAAAACAACCCAGTAGCTGAGCGTAATTGCCCTGGGGAGAGTATGTGGTTAACGCCCTGGCAACTACTTGCTTGAATTACTTCGGGGGGGAAGAAAAAAGAAGTGCTGGCACATGTTTCTGCTATAGCATTGAACTCCCTGTAGCTTGTTCTGTAATGCTGAGCTCCAGCAGCCCGTGATAGTGGGTATGGAAGTCATTGGTGGTGCTGCCTTGTTTCTCACTGCCACCGTTCAAGAATGAATCGAGATTTTATGTATCTATATAAATATCTTTCTGCTTTGCTGCTTAGCGTCGCTTTGTGAGCGTGGACTTCCTCTTAGACTCTGTTTGAGGCAGGGTTTGGGAGTGTAAATGCAGCTCGTGGTGCGGTGTCGTTGCTTCTTTCACAAGAAGTTCAGTTCTCTGTACGAGGCCGTCAGGAACTGGGTTTGGCGTGATGTGCAAACGCAAGAGGTGGATGTGTGGGGCGGGTGGTTCTTTTTTCCCCTTTTTTGGGGAGAATGTGGTTTCTGTAGACACAACCGGCTCCTCACGTATCCATTGCAAGTTTGGGTGAGTTTGGGGGCGACTGGTGCTAGGTGGAATTTTCATTAATTATTACAGAAGCTCATGGATATAACAAGGATGGGGGGAAGACTACACGAGCCTGCTCTGTTTTGGGGACGAGGCAATATTTAGTGGAAAATGATGGAGGGTTTTGTGCCTCCGCTCAGATCCAAGTGAGCTACAGCATGAAAAGCACTTTTTACTGGGAATGCATTGATTAAACCAATTAAAATTGATCTCTGGGTCTTCTGCTGGAACTGGGCATTCTATTGGATTGTCCTTTGAGATGGTGACAGCACAGATTGTCACTTCAGACGATGATTTTACGGTGCAACAGGTTGTTCCTGGAATATTTCAAGGAGCATTTATCACTTAGGATTTGTGTATTGCTCCCATATAATGCAGGTGATGTTACTTTCTCAAACATTGACTGTTGCCTCCAGAAATAGGCTAAGAGGGTATGTGAAACCCTTGCCTGTGAGCTTTGTTCTGGTCAGCTGTGTGTGTGTTGTGAACATAAATAAGGAACATCCGATGAGCAAGTGATAGGCAGCCGTGTCAGTAAGTCCAACACCTCCCCTCCTGCCCCACGTTATTTCAGGGAGAAGCAAGGAGCAATATTTCAGGAGAGTTCAATCACCCTGGAAAAACTCCTTATTCACTTTGCAGTCAAAATAATTGGAAAAAAAGAGAAGGGTGGGGATCCAAATCAGTGAGCTTAAACAGGCTTCCAGTGGAGGATGCTTGCTGGCAGAGGTGGCAGGGGGGCTTTGGGGAATTTCTGACTGTGCTGTTTGGGAATAAACAGCTTACCAGGGAAGCGACTGTGGTGAGACGTATAAACATAAGCATGAAATCAGAATCACATCCCAGCTAGTCTCATTCCATCTTCCTTTGCTTTTTGCTCAGCCTGGGAATCACCAGTTAGTGTTTTGGCCCAGGAGCAGGGTGTCTCAGCCTTTGGTGCTGGTAACGACCCCGGTAACTTTCTCAATTCTCTAATTTTGTTGTAGAAAAGGAAGAGGTTAGGGTAGCCTGTGGATTTGAATCATATGCTGATTCAAGAGAGACCTCTGCACCGAGGATGACACTTCTGCTTCGGCTAGGAATCTGCTCATTACAGCACTTCCAGCATCAGGCTGCTTGCTTGCGTGGGCTTCTGGAACCTGATGACTTGAAGTGCTATTCACTTGCTTCTTCTTAAATTTAATTAAAAGAAATGGTGCTCTAAGTGCACCTCTAGATTTAAAATGTTTATAATCAAGCGAAGCAGCTTGACAGATTTCCTCACCTTGTTAGGAGTTGAAGGAAAACTTGCTTTTTTTTTTTTTTTTTTTGCTTGTAAGAATGAATGAGTTCAAATATCCAAAGCGTGGGAGAAACTTTCTGGAAGATTGTCAGCAGCCCGTAGAGCAAACAAATATAACTTGAATCTGGTATTCATTGGAAATATACTCATGGCAGCGTGTGTGTGTGCTTATGTGTATATAAAAAATCTGTTTTGCTCTTGATCTTATGCAAGCTTACTGCTGATGTTAGTCTGCAGTGTTTTGAAAACATGCCTTTAAAAATCTAATTTGGTGTACTGAATGATCGCTTTTTCTTGACTTTCTGACATTTTTCCCGTTGTCCTTGAAGTTTCTTTCTTCCTGTCTTCCAGATTTAGCATTCAGTTTGTTTCCTGTTGTGTATGCTGTTGTTTTCCTCCCCCAGAGGTCTCTTGCTGTAGAGAAAACGCTCTATTTTGACGTTTGCATAACCAGTGTGCAAGCTGTGCAGGTGTTTGCTGCTAGCAAACACACCAGCCATTAAAAACGAGCGAGGTCTCCTTCAGCTGTAGGAGCAGGTTTGTCTCAATCACTCGAGCATCCAGCTTTTATTTTTATTATTTCTCAATCTTGGTGCATTTCCTCTTCTCAGCGATTCTGCAGCGTGTGCCTCCAGGGTGGGCAAAGGCAGAAGTGGAGCAGGGCTGCGGGGCACCGTGTCCTGTAGCTGCTTGTGCTGCCCTAAGAGCTTGTGATAGCTGCAAGATGTGTGTCATAGTGTCCAGTTTTTCGGCACACTGTGGTGTGTGTGTTTTGGGTAGGCTGTGTGGGAGTGTAATATGGATGCTGGTTGGTGCCTGCTTAAGGCAGGCTTAGTTTAAAGCCCAGGAGTACAAATAAGATTGCGTTTGCATGTTGAAAGTTTCAGGGCGCATTTGCAGGGAGCAGAGGCCTGGATGTGTTCCCCTCTGATGTTGAAACTAGAGCAGAGAGGCTGAGAGCAGGGCTCGAAGAGGCTCTGTGAGCGCTCGCGGATGTGGGTGAGTCTTTGTTCCTTCAATTTCAGCCTTGTTGCAATCATGGGGCTGTTAGAAGTGAATGCAGCTCTCCTGTGTAATACCTTAACTGTGCTGAAAGCAGCCTCCCGTTGTGGCTAACATCACCGTTAGCATCCAACGCCAGCAGCACTCGATGGCTTGATTTCTTTTCCTGGGACTGTAACAGCCTCGCTGGCTCTGCAGCCCTGCGGTTTTGATGTCCAGGCCTTCCCCTGAAACTGCTGGGAGCTTGCACGACCTCCTCCTGCGATTTTAGCAAAGGGAACCTGCCTGCTTGTTGTATCAGGAGGGCTTGACAGACGCTATTCAAATTCTGCTGTGGCTCACTTGCGTTTCTATTTCAAAATTAACGCTGCTGAGGGTGCTTCTAAAGCCATGCGTGCATTTCCTGACTAATTGAGTGCATGTGGTAACTTCTTGTTTCTGTTTATAGACCGAGTAGGCAAGCAGATATGATTCAACGCGGTGACTTCCGAGTAGAGCTTTTGTTTGGTGGGGGCACTGTGCTGTGCTGCAGAGCACTGACGGTTTGGGAGCTTGTTTTGGTTGCCCTGCTTGATGGCAGCGTGCCCTCGAAAACCAGGCTGTAGGTTTGGGCATCTGGTAGGCCCAAACGATAACATCTGCAGGGCTTGGTGTTGGAAGCAAGGGGTATTTCAGGAGTTAAGCCTTCTTAATATTCTGTTGTATGTTTGCCACGAGCCAAAGGTAAGCCATTCAGTCAATAGCAGGTTTTCTGGAGGAGCACAAACATGTCAGAAACCGTTGGCTTGGATTCTTTATGGATTCACAGTGCTGCACGAGGCACGTGAGACCTGTCACTTTAAAATAAATAAAAAGCCACCCAGAGGTGACATTTGTAGCCTGTGTAGCTGAAGCAGTGCAGTAAAAGGAATTCTGTAAAGGACAATTAACAGGTCTGCACCCAAAGAAGAAAGGTGCCTGAGCTTGCTGGGCTGCCTACAGTGGTAAATGGGATTTTTGTGACCCCTGTAAATATTCTGAGTTTACTTTTTAAATAATGGTAACAAAAACTGGCTGAACATGCATATCTTTTTTCCTGCAGTGTGCTAGTAGTGCCACTGACTGACAATGCCGTGGCAGTACTCTGACCATGCTCAACTTGCCTGAACTCTTGATTACGGTTGAATTTAGAGACCCGGTGGTTGTCCTTTTATTGTTTCTACTACAGAAAGCTTTTACTTGTCCGGATCCCTTC